GTAGTACTGCTGGCTGAGTTCAATATTAATGAATAAACAATAATTATTAAACACATTTGACACAAGATTATATGTTGATACCAGAGGCCTACAAGAACCAAACTCTGTATGTCTCCTGGGAACAATGGTATAGTATTTCCTAATTCAGTATTTGCAATGACTTTATGTAATTACCACTAACAACAAAAATCAACTGTAGTTGGATTTATGTCTAAATTTACTTTTTATTTTCCATATGTTTTATACAGTTCTGTGGTTTTATGGGGTTTTCTGTTACTGTTGTGTTCTTTCTTTACTACTTTCTCTTATATTAAGTAAATATTTCCAAATGTAGCATTTTGATTTCAATGTTTTCCCATGACACTGTTTTAGTTTTTCCTTAGTGGTTGCTTTGGGGCTTAACACATACTTATTTTGACTTGTCAAGATCAACGTCAGATTTGTGCTAACTTAATACCAGTGAGATACAAAAAGATTGCTCCTATATTAATCTTTTCCTTTTTGCCCTTTTCATAGTCTTGTTTTTATATATATATTAGATCTACAGATGTTAAAACCCAACAATATATTGTTATAATTATTACTTTCTATAATTGTATGGCTTTTAAAGATGCTTAGAGAATAAAAAAGAACAAGTATATATTTATATCATTTGTTGTATTAGCCTTTTTATCATTTCTGGTTCTCTTCATTTTTTCCTGTGGATTCACGTTACTATCTTTAGTAACTTCCTTCGTCCAATACAGCTGTGTTTCCATGTACCTCCTTTGTACCATTATTGACATAGGCCCAACTATACCAAATATACATTTTTATATTGCTTTTTAAAATCAGTTGAGAGAATAAAGGAGAAAAGTGCATTTGTACTATCTTTTATAATTACATAATTAGTTTTGCTGCTGTTTTGTTTTTCTGTGTGGATATAAATTTCTGTCTGGGGTCACTTGCTTTTGGTCTGCAGAACTCTATGTCTCATAAGATGCATCTGCATGCAATAGATTCCCTCGGTTTTGATTTATCTAGGGATGTCTTTATTTTCCTTCATTTCTGAAAGATAACTTTGTTGGATATAGAATGCTTGGCTGACGTTTTCTTTGAGCACTTTGAATGTACCATCATACTGCCTTCTAGTGTCTTGTTTCTGATAAGAAGTCAACTGTCGCTCTTCTTATGGTTCTCTTATAAATAACTTTTCCCTTGCTGCTTTCAAGATTTCCTCCTTGTTTTTCACTTTCCGTAGTTTTGCTATATGTCTATTTACATATCTTTTGTGTATCTCCAACTTGAGTTTTCTGAGCTCCTGGATGTGTAGATTAATGCTTTTCAATAATTTTGGAAAGTTACTAATTCTGTAAAGAATGTCAGTGGTAGTTTTGTGGGAATAGCATTGAATCTATAAATTACTTTGAGCAGTGTGGCCATTTTCATGATACTGATTCTTCCTATCCATGAGGATGGAATGTTTTTCCATTTGTTTGTGTCCTCTCTTATTTCTTTGAACAGTGGTTTGTAGTTCTCCTTGAAGAGGTCCTTCACATCCCTTGTTAGCTGTATTCCTAGATATTTTATTCTCTTTGTAACAATTGTGAATAAGAGTTCATTCATGATTTGGCTCTCTGCTTGTCTACTGTTGGTGTATAGGAATGCTTGTGATTTTTGCACACTGATTTTGGAATGCTGAGACTTGCTGAAGCTGCTTATCAGCTTAAGGAGTTTTGGGCTGAGACGATGGAGTTTTCTAAATATAGAATCATAACATCTACAAACAGAGACTATTTGACTTCCCCTCTTCCTATCTGAATACTCTTTATTTCTCTCTCTTGTCCAATTACCCTGGCCAGAATTTCCAATACTATGTTGAATAGGAGTGGTGAGAGAGGGCATCCTTGTCTTGTGCCCTGAAAGGGAACGCTTTCAGCTTTTGCCCATTCAGTATGATATTGGCTATGGGTTTGTCATAAATAGCTCTTATTATTTTAAGATATGTTATATCAGCACCTCGTTTATTGAGAGTTTTTAACATGAAGGGCTGTTGAATTTTATTGAAGGCCTTTTCTGCATCTATTGAGATGATCATGTGGCTTTTGTCATTGGTTCTGTTTATGTGACGGATTATGTTTATTGATTTGCAAATGTTGAACTAGCCTTGCATCCCAGGGATGAAGCTGACTTGATTGTGGTGTATAAGCTTTTTGATGTGCTGCTGGATTTGGTTTATCAGTATTTTATTGAGGATTTTTGCATTGATGTTCATCAGGGGTGTTGGCCTGAAGTTTTCTTTTTTTGTTGTGTCTCTACCAGGTTTTGGTATCAGGATGATGCTGGCATCATAAAATGAGTTAGGAAGGAGTCATTTCTTTTCAGTTGTTCGGAATAGTTTCAGAAGAAATGGTACCAGCTCCTCTTGTACCTCTGGTAGAATTTGCCTGTGAATCCATCTGGTCTTGAGCTTTTATTGATTGGTTGACTATTAATTACTGCCTCAATTTCAGAACCTGCTATGTTCTATTCAGTGATTTGACTTCTTCCTGGTTTAGTCTTAGGAGGGTGCCTATGTCCAGGAATTTACCCATTTCTACTAGATTGTCTAGTTTATTTGTGTAGAGGTATTTGTAGCATTCTCCGATGGTAGTCTGCACTTCTGTGGGGTCAGTGGTGATATCCCCTTTATCATTTTTTTATTGTATCTATTTTATTCTTCCCTCTTTCCTTCTTATTAATCTAGCAAGTGGTCTATCTATTTTGTCAATTTTTTCAAAACACCAGCTCCTGATTGACTGATTTTTTGAAGGAATTTTCTTGTCTCTGTCTCCTTCAGTTCTCTGATCTTAGTTATTTCTTGTCTTCTGCTAGCTTTTGGATTTGTTTGCTCTTACTTCTTAGTTCTTTTAATTGTGACGTTAGGGTGTCGATTTGAGATCTTTCCAGCTTTCTGAAGTGGGCACTTAGTGCTATAAATTTCCCTCTTAACACTTTTCAGCTGTGTCCCCGAGATTGTGATACACTGTCTTTTCATTCTCATTGGTTTCAAATAGCTTCTTGATTTTTGCCTTAATTTTGTTATTTACCCAGGAGTCATTCAGGAGCAGGTTGTTCAATTTCCATGTAGTTGTGTGGCTTTGAGTGAGTTTCTGAATCCTGAGTTCTAATTTGATTGCACTGTGTTCTGGGAGACTTTGTTATGATTTCAGTTCTTTTGCATCTGCCGAGGAGTGTTTTACTTTGAATTATGTGATCAGTTTGAGAACAAGTGCCATGTGGCACTGAGAAGAACGTATGTTCTGTTGATTTGGGGTGGAGAGTTCTGTAGATGTCTGTGAGGTCCACTTGATCCAGAGCTGAGTTCAAGTTTTGAGTATCCTTGTTACTTTTCTGTCTCACTGATCTGCCTAATACTGACAGTGGGGTGTTAAAGTCTCCCACTGTTATTGTGTGGGAGTCTAAGTCTCTTTGTAAGTCATTAAGAACTTGCTTTATGAATCTGGGTGCTCCTGTGTTGGGTGGGTACATACATACTTAGGATCGTCAGCTCTTCTTGTTAAATTGATCCCTTGATCATTATGTCATGCCCTGCTTTGTCTTTTTTCATCTTTGTTGGTTTAAAGTCCATTTTATCAGAGACTAGGATTGCAACCCCTGCTTTTTTTGCTTTCCGTTTGCTTGGTAAATGTTCTTCCATTCCTTTATTTTGAGCCTATGTGTGCCTTTGCATGTGAGATGGGTCTCCCAAATACAGCACACCAAGGTGTCTTGACTCTTTATCCAATTTGCCAGTCTGTGTCCAGCTATTATGTCTATGAAATAATATTTTCCACTGCAACCTGTCCTTGCCAGGTAGTCCTCCAACAGAGCCCTTAGCCCTACCCATCAAAGGTCATTGGCTTCAAACCCTGCAGCCTATGGGCCCCCAGCAAGCACTCAGTGGAGCCCTGACCTAATTTTGGAGAGCCCTGCAGCCCACAGGATCATCAGAGTCTCTGCCTCTGCCATTGCAGAGATTTTTTAGTAAAGAGTGATCATGGAGTGAGGAGATGAGGGACCCATGATCAGAACTTTGGGGACTTACTCGGGCACAGATGTGGTCCCGAGCGCGGGCATGGGCAGATGCACACAGGTGTGTAGGTATTTGTGAGACAAGGCTCTGCAACCCAACCCTTTTATTTGTACATTTACTATGACCATGCCCAGGAGACAGCAGTAGAACTACCACATTCTGACGACTTTCTGGCCCATGGAAGGGACGAGACCTTGGAGCTCCCAAAGCCACCATTGTAGGTGACGTTGCCTGAGACGTGAGAGGAGAAGTTGTGAACACGATTATGTACATCCCTGGGGAAGGCACATGAGAGCTCAATGTGAAATCAAACGAAGGTGCTTGCCCCTCATGCCCAGCCCTGTGTGCTAGGCCTGGCTGCCTCCCTGCTCCCCTCTGTGAGCCAATCTCTGCCCAGGAAGGCACTATTACCTGACACCTGCCCCAGAGCTCACTCCCAGCAGAAATACACCCCATGGTTCCCACGGACAACCAGCCACAGGTGGCTCTTGCCAAACGGCCAGGCCAACTGAGCGTCCTCAAACCTGTCTGCAGCAGAAAGCACCTCTCCCTTTTCTCAACGCCCGGAAACAGGTTCTGCCAACCTCATCCCTCCTTGGGTATAGGAGTCTTTTGTAAGTGCAAACTTCTGGGATGCAGCTGAGGACTGTCAACTCCCGCATGTCACCTGAACGCCCCTGTCCCTGCCTCTACAGTGTGCCTGATGCAATCAGTACATTTCTACTAGTTCATCTACAGACAAACCCACATGAGGGCAGCCCCGACTCCAGCCAGGAGCCTCACAAACCAGAACATCCACAAACAGTGAACCAACACTGCTAACACAACAGTGTCTGCAGCAGCAACAAGGAAAAGGAAGGCTTCCCAAAGCCACCCAGGGCAGCACAGTCAACACCGAGGGGTATAAAGCTTCTGACTGCTCAGAGCACCTGGCACGGTCGCTCACACACCCACCAACTCACCCATCCACCCACTTACTCACACCTCCCCCAGCTCACCGCCTCCACACCCCAGCATGGCCACATCCACCATGTCCGTCTGCTCCAGCGCTTGCTCCGACTCCTGGCAGGTGGACGACTGCCCAGAGAGCTGCTGTGAGCCCCCCTGCTGCACCCCCAGCTGCTGTGCCCCGGCCCCCTGCCTGACCCTGGTCTGCACCCCAGTGAGCTGTGTGTCCAGTCCCTGCTGCCAGGTGGCCTGTGAGCCCAGCACCTGCCAATCAGGCTGCACCAGCTCCTGCATGCCCTCGTGCTGCCAGCAGTCTAGCTGCCAGCCGGCTTGCTGCGTGCCCATCTGCTGCAAGCCTGTCTGCTGTGTGCCCACCTGCTCTGAGTCTTCCTCTTCATGCTGCCAGCAGTCTAGCTGCCAGCCGGCTTGCTGCACCTCCTCCCTATGCCAGCAGGCCTGCTGTGTGCCTGTCTGCTGTAAGGCTGTCTGCTGTGTGCCCACCTGCTCCGAGTCTTCCTCTTCATGCTGCCAGCAGTCTAGCTGCCAGCCAGCTTGCTGCACCTCCTCCCCCTGCCAGCAGTCTTGCTGTGTGCCCATCTGCTGCAAGCCTGTCTGCTGTGTGCCCACCTGCTCTGAGTCTTCCTCTTCATGCTGCCAGCAGTCTAGCTGCCAGCCGGCTTGCTGCACCTCCTCCTGCTGCAGACCCTCCTCCTCCGTGTCCCTCCTCTGCCGCCCCGTGTGCAGACCTGCCTGCTGTGCCCCCTCCTGCTGTGCCCCCACCTCCTCCTGCCAGCCCAGCTGCTGCCGCCCGGCCTCCTGCGTGTCCCTCCTCTGCCGCCCCACGTGCTCCCGCCCAGCCTGCTGTGGCCTCTCCTTGGGCCAGAAGTCCAGCTGCTGACGGGCAGGTCCCATGTCTCCATTTCCAGACTTGTTCCAGGGCCATCTCTGACTTCCAGAAATCCTGGCAGCCTCGAGCCCTGGCGGAGTTTCTTCTGCCCAGGGCCACGGCATCTCCAGTCAACAGTGCTGAGCCTTCATGGCCAAGTTCCCTCCCGGCACTAGTACCTCCCACTCTCTCAGCCCCATCCTGGCCAGCCGGGGCCGCTGTGTCCTGCCCTGTGCGAGTGATCAGTTAACAAATAAAGTTACCACTCTGACTTCTCAGAGGCCTTTTTTCTGTGTCTGGCAGACCCTGGGGAAGAGCTCCCATGTGCTGTGTGGGGTGGGGGCTTTGGGACTCGCCTGGAGCTGCATCCAGGGTGACAGCACGGGGGCGGAGGCAGTCCTGACCTCCCACTGTGCTGGGTCTGCGGTTGCGGGGTTCTCTGCCAGCCTCAGCATGTCCAGGCCCTGGGTGTGCCCTTCTCTGTGAATCCCCCACACCCACAGGGCCTGGCCTCTCCCTGGGCTCCTGCCTCTCTCCTTCCTCTGCCTGTCTGACCCCCACTCACCCTCTTCTCACCAGCTCTCTCTTACTAAATAAAATGAATATTTCTCATTCCTGGAAGATATTTTAGAGCTGATCTCTTGTTTCAAAGCACCTGTGTACCTTTGTTTCACAATCCGTGTACCCGAAGGCTCTGTGGGTCCAGTTCAGCTTTCTGTAATTTCTGCCAGTTCTGCCTCATGGTGTCTTGTTTCCTTGTGTGCTCAGCTATTTGTGGCTGAGTCATCACCCTTGCACTTGAGAAGTATTTGTGGGCATTTTTGAGGCCTCTAAGAAAGGTGTGTTTGCTTTTTCCTTATGTGAGGAAACTCTGATTCCAGGAGCACCTTCAGCTAAATACGTGGCTTCAGTTAGTGTGGGCCACCCACAACGTGCCAGTTTGGGCTGCAGAGCAGAATGAGGGCAGGCTTGCTGGGGCAGGATGTTCTCCTCTGGGTGAGCGGAGTCCCCAGCAGTCAGCAGCCCCCAGGATGGGCAAAGCCCCTGCGTGGCTCTGCCTCCCTCTTCTCTGAAGGTGCAGCCCGTGCCGTCTTTAGCTTAATGTAGGGGCGGTCCCCTTTAGACCCACCACGAGGGGGCTCTCGGCTTCGATTTCTGTCCTCTTCATCCTGCAAAACCATTCAATCCGAAATTTTAAATGGCCACATCACCAAATGCCCTCAAGAACAAAGCGAATTCTGGGTGCGTCTAAACGCTGTGGGTTACAGCAAAGGTCCTTCACCTGGGATCTGTGAGCTCGGATATAAAGAATAGAAGATGCATCTTTACTTCTCAAGCCTCTAACTGAAATGCAGTGTTTCAATCAATTGTGAATGTAGCTGAGAAAACTTATGGCACCTGCAGCTTTGTCAGCCACAGAAATGAGATGTGGGGCGTCACATGATGGTGGCTGCAGATACTCAAACTTCATTCTGACCACTGCTATCTCATAATGACGGCAGCGTGAGATGCGCTGCTGGGTCCTGCTGGGCGTGTGTTCCCTAGAGAAGCACGGGCTAGATCGTTAATTCATGTTTTCACAGTTTAATAACCATGTTTTGTTTTTGTTGTTGTTGTTTTGAGACAGAGTCTTGCTCTGTTGCCCAGGCTGGAGTGCAGAGGTGCGATCTCGATTCTCTGCGACCTCCACTCCCCGGTTCAAGCAATTCTCTGCCTCAGCCTCCTGAGTAGCTGGGATTACAGGCACCTGCCCCAACACACGGCTAATTTTTTTGTATTCTTAGTAGAGACAGGATTTCGCCATCTTGGCCAGGCTGGTCTTGAACTCCTGACCTCATGATCCACCTGCCTTGGCCTCCCAAAGGGCCAGGATTACAAGCGTGAGCACCATGCCCGCCCCATCACCATGACTTAGTTGGTTTCCTTTTACTTTACTCATTTGAAAACCTCCAAGGGTTTCACAAGGTAGTGGGGAAGGCCCCTGGCCCAAAAAGGGCAAAGACCCCTGCCTTTGATTTGGGCCTGTAATCCTGTAATTCTTTATTCCTTTTCCAGTTTCCTGCTGTGACTAGGAAGATTCTTTCCAGCACTTTCCATTGTTTTCAGCAGGATGGTGGGTCAGACAATCTCACCAACAGGTTTCCAGAACTGGAACCCTGTCGCAACTTCTCAATTCTTAAGACTAACTGGAAACTTTCTGTAACTTTCCCCTGTTGTTGGCGATGATTCCTTGATTCTTGAGTAGGTCTTTTCTTTTGGACTGTTGTGTCTGCTGACCTTACCCTGTTGCTGGTGATGATTCCTGAATTCTTGAGTAGGGTCTTTTCTTTTGGACTGTTGTGTCTGTTGACTTTCCCCTGTTGCTGGCAATGATTCCTGAATTATTGAGTTGGGTCTTTTCTTTTGGACTGTTGTGTCTATTGACTTGTCCAGGCAATGGTTTGTTCCTTGGCAGTTTCCACGGCATGTCTGTGCAAATGCAACACAGAGGGATGGAAGTCCCTGTCCCAGGGTCACAGGCTCCCAGGACAGAAGGACATAGGTGTCTTGTCACTGTCATTTTCCTTTCCAAGCTTCCGGCCTGGCCACCAGGACAAGGGGAGCAGGCGGGGCGGGAAAGGCTGCCCCCAGCCCTCTCTGTGTCCTGGCCTGGTCAGCAGCCTAGGGCGAGGCTGCCCCACCCTGAGCCCCACGACTGTGCTTGTGCAGCCTCCACCCTGATTGTGAAGGGGGATGGGATGTGTGTGTGGGGTGTGGGACTCACCATGCAAGGACTGGGAGGGGACTTCTCACACTAGGTGCCCTTCACCACCCATCTCCCACAGCCCTTCACCAGCCGGCCTAGCCACATGCCCATGTCTCCCCACTGGGTGGGACTCTGTAAGGGAACATGGTTTCCCCACCTGCAGGGAAGCCTGAGCCAGGCCACCCTCCCTTCAGCTCATCCTGTGGGATATGAGGGTGCTGCTAGTGTGGGAGCCCCCATTTCTAGGCTGTGTGGTCACCCCTTGGGGAGGATGGGAGACGAGGCTCTGTGTGGGCCCCCACAGCCGTCGGACCTGGGAGGCATCTCTTTCCCTCTCATTGCTGTTTAATTGTGACATTCGTTACCTTATTCTGTTTATTTATTTTATAAACCATTTGAGAAATGTTTTCATCTAATAGGAAACATCAGATGAAATTTATTTTCCTTTCTAACTGGCTGCTTTGCTCTTCACCCTGACATTTTCACTGGGTTCTCTGCTTTTGAGGTTTTCCTCTGGTTTCAGAAACTGCTTTTCTGTCTTACAATATCCACCATAGGGTTTGCTTTTTTCTTTTCTACTTTTATTTGCTGTTTTGAAAAATATACATCCTGTTTCTAATTGTACAAATAAATAGCTTTTAAGTTTACCTTTATGTTTATTTTCTAACTGTTAAAGTGAGGGATGGAATTGTAATTTGAGAATTTCCATTTAAAACAGCATTAATCTCGCTCTCCTCAACATCAGCCCACGTGTCCACCCCCACCGGCTTCTCAGTCTTTCCTGTTGAATTGAAAGCAACATACAGCGTATTCTAGGAGAAGCAGAACCACACTCGCAATCGTAAATATTATAACAGCCACATTTAAGGATGGCAAAAGGAACAGGTGAAGTTAATTTAGGAATAGACCTTATTTAACCCAGAACATCCAAAGTGTTACCATTTCAACATGTGGCATGAGCCACGTGTGGTTAGTGGCCTCTCACATTAGCGTGCAGTAAAGTATTAGAATCTTATCACTGCTATTCAATTACAATGTTGAATATGCATCTGTTACGACAGATGTGAAATTTGCACTTGCAGTTATAACTGAGCACATTGGTTATGTGGACACAGGTCAGTGTCTTCCTGTCTTCGTGTCTGGGCCAGCTCCTTGATACCCCAGCCTCTGCATTCCTGAGCTCTTTGCTTCTTCTCTGTTTTAGTCTGTTGGGGCTGATAAAACAAATTGCCATGGACTTGGGGTCTTGAGCAGTAGACATTTCTTTCCCCCAGTTCTGGAGGCTGGAAGTCCAGGATCAGGCAGGGTGCCACATGGTGGGGTTCCGGAGAGGGCGCTCTTCCTGGTCTGCAGACGGCCACTTTCTTGCTGTCCTCACATGACAGAGACAATCTCTCTGGGGCTTCTTCTCTAAAGGGTACGAATCCCATTCTTGAGCTAATTGCCTCCCAAGGCCCCACCTCTAAACACCATCAGATTGGAATTAGGGTCTCAGCGTGTGAATTTTGGCAGGACACAAATATTCCATCTGGAATGATCACTTTGCCATTTGTCGTGTTTCCTTAAGTATTTTTTTCCAAGAGGGATACCTGGGTGGAGTGCTTTCTAAGCTCTTGCTTTTATGAAAACACATCACTGTTATCTTTATTTGAGAAAGATGTAATCATTTGAAAAAAGGAAAAATAGAGCCTTGGTCCAGCAAGGCTTCCCCTGGAAGCTCTGAGGGTATTGCCTCATCCTGGGTAGTGGGACAGGGTTCATTCCCAGACTGGACGTTATTCGTCCTGCATGTGAGGGACTGTTCTTACGTCTTCTAAGTTTAAAAACGTGCCAATGCAGTTCTAGGGTGGGCTCTGAAGGCCTGATTTTCTTGGAATTCATTAAGTTCTTCTACTCCAAATACACGCGCCTCTGTTCATTCAGCCCAGAATAGCTGGTCTTCAATTACGTCTGTGATTACTATTTTGGACCTGTTTGTGTTTTTCTCCTCAGCGATTGAATTTTCATGTTTGGTCTCCGATAAATACACACTCTGTGTGTTATCCTTTCCCTCATTATATTTGTGGGTTTATCCTTTACCTCGCTGTTTGGAAGAACTACTCATGTTTGGTCTTAACCGCGCTGGTTCTCTGTGGTGTTCGTTTTGCTCTTCTGCCTCTGGTGTGAATTTTAAATCCAGCCGTTTGGTATTCACTTTGGTCGTGAAGACTTGCTGTCTTTCGTCTTGGACATCTGTTTGGAATCGGAGACGCGCCGGTTGGGGATGTAGCTCCTACGTGCGGACTGGCTGGCTTCTAGTCCTGGTTCTGTCACTTCTCCTGTGTGACTTTGAGCAGACGGCTCAACCTCTATGTGCTGAGGCCTCCGTATCTGTCCATAGTAACTTCGACAAGGAGTTCATGCCAAAGTGAAGGGAGTGAATAGATGCCAAGTGCTTGGAATCCTGCCTGGCATATCCCGTGCTCGGCAAATGCTCTCACTTCGCCACCTGCATTATCAGGGCTACTGTGGGGTCATTTTCTAAGACCGCTGAAGCTGTCACTACAGTCGCATGCTATAACTTGGGGCTCCAGGTCTGTGGGACGATCACCCCCATACCCCATTAGGGAACACAGTCACCTCGGCTTTGCGTTGGCGCTGGCCCTGGCTCCCAGGCTGACTGCACTGTGTCTTCACGAGAGGCTCCCGTGGGGAGCTACGTGTTCACGGACAATCCTTGAGAGCCCAGAGGGGCCTGTTTGACCACAGCCATGGGGCGTGGAGTGACTGGCACGCTGGAGGCCAGATTCCACGGAATTTCCATCACAGTGGCGAGGCGGGTGTGCAGGGAGGGGCTGTGGGGGGCTGCGAGTTTGGCCCATCCCAGGCTGCTATAGGCTCGTTCTCAGCTGAAAGAGGCTGGAAGAGAGGGAGAGGTTTGCAGTTCCTCATGAGAACTAGCCTCAGTCCACAACACAGAGGAGCTCACCTGTGACCATCCCTGCCCTGGGGTCAGGGCCCGTCCTGCCTGATGACCTCCCAGGCACAGGCTGGCTTTGCCCACCCCAAGTGTCCTCCACTCTCCATGAGACCCTCACTTCACACCCGCCTCCCTGAGGCAGAGGCCCCTCCTCACCCTCAGGCCGTGACCTATGCCCACCCCTCTCAGGACACTTGACCAGGGCTCCAGGGGACGGTGGTCCAGACCCAAAGGCCAGTCCCCAGACCGTGTCCTCCTAATGAGCGGACTGTCCAGAGGCCTTGCCGGAACGTTCCATCTCCCTCTCAGGGGAGGGGAGGTCCTCCCTGTCCTCCTGCCCTTGGCAGACATCAGGAGCTCAGAAGATCCCAGTGCCCCCCAGGAAACGCTGTCCTTAAGCACCTTTTCTCTACACAGGCGCCTCCTTCCTGGCTCTCCCAATCCCAGCCAGGCCAGCCTGCCCCATGAGGCCCCTGCAGATGGACGCTGGGCATCCCCTGGGCCAAGAGACCACACTGGGGACAGTCAGGGGAACTGCCAGGTGGAAGCCATCAGGGCAGCCCCACAGACACTGCACCTTCCCCCCTGGTGTCCTGGGGGCCAGGCTCAGCCAGGGGCACCGGCCCTGCCCAGGACCAGCTGAGTGTGAGGAGCAGAGTGAGGACAAGTCACAGCAAGGGAAGCAGAAATAATGAGGGTCCTCCCAGCCACAAACACCAACACGGAAGGCGTTGCTGAGTCTCGTGCGGGGAAAACACAGGCTCCGGGTGTATAAAAGCCCCAGAGCCCAGCAGCTGACAGGCTCACACACTCACACATTCACCCACTCACACACACCTCCTCCAGCTCACCTCCTCCACACCCCAGCATGGCCGCATCCACCATGTCCGTCTGCTCCAGCGCTTGCTCCGACTCCTGGCAGGTGGACGACTGCCCAGAGAGCTGCTGCGAGCCCCCCTGCTGCGCCCCCAGCTGCTGCCCCCAGGCCTCCTGCCTGACCCTGGTCTGCACCCCAGTGAGCTGTGTGTCCAGCCCCTGCTGCCAGGCGGCCTGTGAGCCCAGTCCCTGCCAATCAGGCTGCACCAGCTCCTGTACGCCCTCATGCTGCCAGCAGTCTAGCTGCCAGCCGGCTTGCTGCACCTCCTCCCCCTGCCAGCAGGCCTGCTGTGTGCCCGTCTGCTGCAAGCCTGTCTGCTCTGTGCCTGTCTGCTGCAAGCCTGTCTGCTGTGTGCCCGTCTGCTGCAAGTCTGTGTGCTGTGTGCCCACCTGCTCTGAGGATTCCTCTTCATGCTGCCAGCAGTCTGGCTGCCAGCCGGCTTGCTGCACCTCCTCCCCCTGCCAGCAGGCCTGCTGTGTGCCCGTCTGCTGCAAGCCTGTCTGCTGCAAGTCTGTGTGCTGTGTGCCCACCTGCTCTGAGGATTCCTCTTCATGCTGCCAGCAGTCTAGCTGCCAGCCAGCTTGCTGTGCCTCCTCCTCTTGCCAGCAGTCTTGCTGCGTGCCCATCTGCTGCAAGCCAGTCTGCTGCGTGCCCACCTGCTCAGAGGGCTCCTCTTCATGCTGCCAGCAGTCTAGCTGCCAGCCAGCTTGCTGCACTTCCTCCTGCTGCAGACCCTCCTCCTCCGTGTCCCTGCTCTGCCGCCCCGTGTGCAGGCCTGCCTGCTGCGTGCCCGTCCCCTCCTGCTGTGCCCCCGCCTCCTCCCGCCAGTCCAGCTGCTGCCGCCCAGCCTCCTGCGTGTCCCTGGTCTGCCGCCCCGTGTGCTCCCGCCCCACCTGTTGAAGCTTCTCCTCAGGCCAGAAGTCCAGCTGCTGATGGCCACGTCCCCCAGGGCCAGCCGGTCTCAGACTCCACCTCCCTGCCAGTCCTTAGAAGCCCCTGACCTCCCAACCCACCCAGCCCCAGCACAGCTCAACCACAGAGAAGGAGCAGGCCCACCCACCTCCACCCAGCCCAGGGTGGGGTCTGAGGTGCTCACTGGCTCCTCCCTGACCTTGCCCAGCGTGGAGGAGCCCGGCTGCTCCTCACCAGGCTTCCCGGCTGCAGGCCACGACCCTCTGCTGTGGGGGATGGGCCTCCTGACCGGGGTCTCACACCCAGGAGTGTCCCCCTGTACCTCTGAGCACCAATAAAGCCGCTGTGGCCCCACACTGACTCTGTGCTGACTCTGGTGCACCCAGGGCGGGAGGGGACAGAGCAGGGCCTGGCCTGGCTCTGGGGGGCTGGGCCCCATGGATTTCTTTACATCCCTTGCTGGGGGGCCTCAGGGGCTCTTGTGATACCTGGAAGCTCCTGCCCACCTCGCGGCATGTTCTGCTCTCCGGCTCCCCTCCCAGGTCCTGTGGGGCCAGAAGCCTTGTTCACAGGCTGAGTCCCAGGGGCACCACATGGCTCTGGCCAGCGACCCTCACTGTGGGTAGAAGCAGCTCCTCCCATGGCGAGGGGCAGGTCTGTTCTGGGGATGTCAGGCCCCAGCTGTGCTGGGAGGTGGGAGACGAGAGTGGGTGGGAACTTGGGCTCCAGCTGTCCTGGTGCTCAGGGTGTTCCACTCAGGGAAAGCCTGGGCACCCTGGCCTCCTGCGCACACTCGCGGACGCTCAGGGAAGCCCTCTGCTCCGGCCCGAGGCTTGACACTGGGATGCAGAGCAGGGAACAGAGTCGTGGCCTCCAGAGCTCCCTGTGCTGGGCCGGGAGCGGGTGGAAGGCAGGTGGGAACAGGAAGACCCCAGTGGCAGAGGAAGCTGATACCGCGTGGGAGCACATACAGATCAGAGGGCGAGGGAGACACATGGACACACAGGTCCACATGTAGCCAGACGTGCTTTCAAACTGGATTGAGCAAATCTGAGAAGAGACTCCTAGAAATGCAACTGCAGGCAGGGGACGCTGGCGAGGTGTGACCGTCAGCATGTTGCCCTCAAGAGGCCCTGAGTCTAGTTCTCAACAGCTGTACAGTCACAACATGGGGGCCACATTATTCTTTTTTTTTTTTTTGCCAATGTGATTAGCAAAAGTATTTTCTCGTGGTTTCCTTCAGCAAGGTGCCTGGCGTTCCAAAGTGTGGACCCGATGCACCTGATGTACATAGCAGCAGCAGGTAGATGGCATTGAATGTCTCTCCAGCTGTTCATTATTACAAACAACACCTCTGTGGGTGTTCCTACCATATACCTCTCCACACTCAGGAAAGTTTGCCTAAATTCCTAGGAGTGGCAATGCTAGCGTGGGGTGTTCATGGATTTTGAATTCATAGAGATACTGAGAACTGTCCTGAAAAGATTGTCCCAAATTGTGCCTGCGAAGACCAAGGTCAGAGAAAGTGTTGCAGAGAGGAACTGTGAGGGCCTGTCCCTCCACGGAGCATCAGAAACTGGCAAAACCAAACACACAAACACACCCAGCCAGCCAGCGTTCCCTTGCCCTGCGGTTGTGTTTCCAGGAATCTGTTCTCAGATTTGTTCCATCCTGCTTGGAACTGTCTGGCTACATCTGCACTCGTGGTCATGTGTTCTGCCACGCTCTGGTTTGGACATGGACCCACAGTGTCCTGGGCTTCCTCCACCATTGCTTCCGCAAGACCTTCCCGTCCCCACCTGCTGTCCACCCATCCAGCCAAACAAAGGGGGCTGGAGTTCAGCTTTATCTAAACTTTGGAAAATAGTGGAAGGTTTGCAGCAGGCAAGGGAACACACAATCAAGTAAAAGCAACAGAATCCAATAGGAGAGCCTTGTGGATTTTAACTTCCCCTTGCCCCATCCCTATCCCCAGCTGGGTGACAGTCAGGAAGACGGCAGCTGGAGTCCCTGGTGTGGGGTGCTGCTGCCAGGGAAGCAGAGGGGCCCTTGTTTGCAAGGCAGTGCAGCTGTCTGTTCCCGCCCATCTTGTGGCTCCCTGAAGGACTAACACACAGGGCTTGCATTATTTCAGACTCAGACTCGGGCAGAGAGCAGCTACACCGAGGCTTTGTCAGAACATTAAACAGTCACTGTCACCTGGGGCCAAGGATATCAGCTAGAAAACACTGGACACACGCAAAAAGTCTGGGGGGAAAAGCTGGGAGATGACATGCTTTGAGGAATAAGGGTGTTGGGAGATTCAGAAGGCCCCAGTGCATGTCCATGATGGGGCAGAGGCTCAGAAAACCCTAAGAAACTCTCAGTGCTCAGCTCTGGCTGAACTTCAGGCTCTGAGCAAGCAGGAAGTGAAGGTGCAACAGGAAGTGAAGGTGCAACAGGAAGTGAAGGTACAACAGGAAGTGAAGGTGCAACAGGAAGTGAAGGAGCAAGCAGGAAGTGAAGGTGCAAACAGGAAGTGAAGGTGCAACAGGAAGTGAAGGAGCAAGCAGGAAGTGAAGCTGCAACAGGAAGTGAAGGTGCAAACAGGAAGTGAAGGTGCAACAGGAAGTGAAGGTGCAACAGGGAGTGAAGGTGCAACAGGAAGTGAAGGTGCAACAGGAAGTGAAGGAGCAAGCAGGAAGTGAAGGAGCAAGCAGGAAGTGAAGGTGCAACAGGAAGTGAAGGAGCAAGCAGGAAGTGAAGGTGCAACAGGAAGTGAAGGAGCAAGCAGGAAGTGAAGGGGGAAGGCAGAGTCACAAACTCCCCAGCTGAGTGCTGAGGGTGTGGACCAACATACAGAGCCCAGCTACAAGCTCGGCAGAAAGATATTTCTTCATTCCAAGGGTTTAAGGAACTCTCTGTCAAATTACTATCTGAACCCTAAGCTAATAGAACATGAGCACACATGGTAAGGAAACTATTTTTTTAAAGTGACATAAACAAACAAAAACAACCACAATCTACAGCAATCAGCACCAGCAGACTGTGCAGAGGGAGGAGAACCTCACACCCGGAAATCTCCCATTGTAATAGTCACTGTCCAGTTTTCACCAGAGGCATGTGCCATGCAAAACAGCAAGAAATAGGAGCTACAAATGAGGGGAAAGCAATTAATAGAAAATCTTCCTGAGGAAGCCCAGAATTGGACTTACTAGACAAAGCCTTTCAATCAACTCCCTTAAACAAGTTCAAAAAAACTAAATAAAATCACAAAGAATTAAGATAAACCAGGAGAATGATGCCTCATCAAATAGAGAAAGAGGGGGAATTTTAAAAATAAATAATAGAAGTTCTGGAACTGGAAAGTACAATCACTGAAATAAATAGTCATGATAGGGTTCAACAGCAGATTTTATCCTGTGGAAAAATTAGTGAACATGAAGACAGTTGAGTTAACATGCCCTAGTCTGAGGGGTAGCTGAGACACAGGGGAGTAGACGTGAGAATGGAGAGCAATGAACAAGTCTTACAAGACCTGTGGGACACCATCAAGCATAGCAGCATACTTAACCAGATTTCCAGATGGAGGGGAGACGGAGCAAAAAAATAATTGAAGAGATAATGGCCAAAAGTTCGTAAATTGAGAAAAGACATTAATCTACACATTCAAGCCACTCAGTGAACCCCAAGTAAAATAAACTCAAAGAGAGTTGCACAAAAACACAGTGTAACTGAACTCTCAAAAGTCAGAACAAAGAATCTAGAAAGCAGCTGGACAGAAGACTAACAGCAGATTTCTCATCAGAATCCATGGAGGCCAGAAGGCATTGGGATGACATATGTAACATGCTGGCTTGGGGTACAGGGACAGAGGGCAACCAACAACCAAAAAGATATCAGCATCTGACAAAATTATCCTTCAAAAATGAAAGAGAAAGTGACACATTCCGAGGTAAATAAAACCTGAGAGAGCTCGCTGCCAATAGACTTGCCTTACAAGAAGCGCGAATCCAGGCTGGGGTAAGAGGGCACTAGACAGTAACCTGGAACCATCTGAGGGAAAGGTAGCCACGTTGGTAGTTTGTGTGCTTATAAGAAGTTTTCCATCGCATATTGGTTATCTAATTTGTGGGTGTACAAATTTTCATAGTATTCCTTATAATCCTTTTTATTAATGTAAGTTCAGTAGTGATGTTCCCATTTTCATTTACGATTTTAATTATTTGCATCTGCCATCTTTTAATAAATCTAGATAAAGATTTGCCAAACATGTTACTCTTCTCAGAAACCCCACTTTGGGGTTTGTGGATTCTATTGATTTTTAATTTTCTCTTCCATTTTTCTGTGCTCTAGACTTTATTTCCACCTTCTGCTAAATTTGGATTTCGTTTGCTCTTCTTTTTCTAGTTCCTTAAGGTGAAAAGTTAGATGAATGATTTGACATCTTCCTATTTTTTAAAAAATGTAGGCGTTCAGTTATCAGTTTCCCTTTCTATACTGCTTTCACCAAATCTCATAAGTTTTGGTTTGCTCTGTTTTCTTTCCTATTCATCTCAAAGTATTTGCTAACTTCTAAGTTCCCCTTTGACTCACTGGTAGTTTGAGAGTGTGCCATTTAATATACACATATTTGTGAATTCCAGTTTTTCTTCTGTTGTTTTCTAATTCTTTCCATTATAATCAGAGCACATAGTTTGTATAAGTTCAGTCATTTTAAATTATTAAGACTAGTTTTGTGGCCTAAGGTATAGTCTAATTTGGCAACTGTTCCATGTGAACTTGAGAAGAATGTGTTGTCTGCTACTGTTGGGTTGGGTGTTTCCGTGTATATGTTAGACCAGTTTATGGGGTTCTTTAAGTCCTCTATTCCTTTACTGAATGTCAGCTTAACTCTATTTAATTTTTTTAATTACAGAAAATGGCTCACTGGAGTCTCTGGCTCTTATAGTAGAACTGGAGCTGTCCACGTCTTTCTTCAAGTCTGTCCATTTTTGCTTCACATACTTTGGTGATCTGATGTTAGACGCGTGTGTATTTACGATTGGTGCGTCTTCCTGGTGGATTCACTTTAATCCGACATAATGTCCTGTGGGCCCAGCGCCTGCTGATCAGTCTGCACCAGTCTCTGCATGACAGCACTTCCTCATTCGCCTCCTTTTTCTAGCCATTCTCCCAGCCTGTGGCTGGCCCCTCCCCAGCCAGGCCTCCATGTCTTCACGTCACATCCATGTGACCCACTGAGCAGCACACAGCATTCCTCAGTTGCTCTCACTAGAGGTCGGTGTTTCTGGCCTCACTTCCTAAGGTCTGCAAAACGATGGTGCCCTAATAAAACAAGCTGAGGAATTTAAGACCAGCATGATTTGTCTCCCAGTTATTTGAGAACATTCTGTGGTGAAAGTGTTTGGGTCCGTAGTTTGCTTTGTAGAATGGCTTTTAATCTTAGGTATGTTATATCTAGGATTTTCCTTTTGTTGGATTCTGTCTTGACGAATATAGACAATTGTGTCTCCACCAACACAGCCAATACATAGACTCCTCTCATCATCCCACGAATTTCCCTCATCCCCTTCCTAGTCATTTCTCACCCCACCCTAACTCCAAGCAGGCACTGCTTTTTTGTTGTTTGTTACTATTATTATTATTTTTTTTTTGAGACAGAGTTTCGTTCTTGTTACCCAGGCTGGAGTGCAATGGTGCCATCTCGGCTCACTGCAACCTCCGCCTCCTGGGTTCAGGCAATTCTCCTGCCTCAGCCTCCTGAGTAGCTGGAATTACAGGCACGCGCCACCGTGCCCAGCTAATTTTTTGTATTTTTAGTAGAGACGGGGTTTCACCATGTTGACCAGGATGGTCTCGATCTCTTGACCTCATGATCCAACCGCCTCGGCCTCCCAAAGTGCTGGGATTACAGGCATGAGTCACTGCACCCAGCTAATTTTTTTGTATTTTTAGTAGAGATGGGGTTTCACCATGTTGACCAGGATGGTCTCGATCTCTTGACCTCGTGATCCACCCGCCTTGGCCTCCCAAAGTGCTGGGATTACAGGCGTGATCTGCCCGCCTCGGCCTCCCACAGTGCTGGGATTACAGGTGTGATCCACCCGCCTCGGCCTCCCACAGTGCTGGGATTACAGGTGTGATCCGCCCGCCTCGGCCTCCCACAGTGCTGGGATTACAGGTGTGATCCACCCGCCTCGGCCTCCCAAAGTGCTGGGATTACAGGCGTGATCTGCCCGCCTCGGCCTCCCACAGTGCTGGGATTACAGGCGTGATCCACCCGCCTCGGCCTCCCACAGTGCTGGGATTACAGGTGTGATTTGCCCGCCTCGGCCTCCCACAGTGCTGGGATTACAGGTGTGATCCGCCCGCCTCGGCCTCCCACAGTGCTGGGATTACAGGTGTGATATGCCCGCCTCGGCCTCCCACAGTGCTGGGATTACAGGCTGAGCCACCGCGCCCGGCCTCCCACAGTGCTGGGATTACAGGTGTGATCCGCCCGCCTCGGCCTCCCACAGTGCTGGGATTACAGGTGTGATCCGCCCGCCTCGGCCTCCCACAGTGCTGGGATTACAGGCTGAGCCACCGCGCCCGGCCTCCCACAGTGCTGGGATTACAGGTGTGATCCACCCGCCTCGGCCTCCCACAGTGCTGGGATTACAGGTGTGATCTGCCCGCCTCGGCCTCCCACAGTGCTGGGATTACAGGTGTGATCCGCCCGCCTCGGCCTCCCACAGTGCTGGGATTACAGGCTGAGCCACCGCGCCCGGCCTCCCACAGTGCTGGGATTACAGGTGTGATCCGCCCGCCTCGGCCTCCCACAGTGCTGGGATTACAGGTGTGATCCGCCCGCCTCGGCCTCCCACAGTGCTGGGATTACAGGCTGAGCCACCGCGCCCGGCCTCCCACAGTGCTGGGATTACAGGTGTGATCCGCCTGCCTCGGCCTCCCACAGTGCTGGGATTACAGGTGTGATCCGCCTGCCTCGGCCTCCCACAGTGCTGGGATTACAGGTGTGATCCGCCTGCCTCGGCCTCCCACAGTGCTGGGATTACAGGTGTGATCCGCCCGCCTCGGCCTCCCACAGTGCTGGGATTACAGGTGTGATCCACCCGCCTCGGCCTCCCACAGTGCTGGGATTACAGGCTGAGCCACCGCGCCCGGCCTCCCACAGTGCTGGGATTACAGGTGTGATCCGCCCGCCTCGGCCTCCCACAGTGCTGGGATTACAGGCTGAGCCACCGCGCCCGGCCTCCCACAGTGCTGGGATTACAGGTGTGATCCGCCTGCCTCGGCCTCCCACAGTGCTGGGATTACAGGTGTGATCCGCCTGCCTCGGCCTCCCACAGTGCTGGGATTACAGGTGTGATCCGCCTGCCTCGGCCTCCCACAGTGCTGGGATTACAGGTGTGATCCGCCCGCCTCGGCCTCCCACAGTGCTGGGATTACAGGCTGAGCCACCGCGCCCGGCCTCCCACAGTGCTGGGATTACAGGTGTGATCCGCCCGCCTCGGCCTCCCACAGTGCTGGGATTACAGGTGTGATCTGCCCGCCTCGGCCTCCCACAGTGCTGGGATTACAGGTGTGATCCGCCCGCCTCGGCCTCCCACAGTGCTGGGATTACAGGTGTGATCCGCCCGCCTCGGCCTCCCACAGTGCTGGGATTACAGGTGTGATCTGCCCGCCTCGGCCTCCCACAGTGCTGGGATTACAGGTGTGATCCGCCCGCCTCGGCCTCCCACAGTGCTGGGATTACAGGTGTGATCCGCCCGCCTTGGCCTCCCACAGTGCTGGGATTACAGGCTGAGCCACCGCGCCCGGCCTCCCACAGTGCTGGGATTACAGGTGTGATCCGCCCGCCTCGGCCTCCCACAGTGCTGGGATTACAGGTGTGATCCGCCCGCCTCGGCCTCCCACAGTGCTGGGATTACAGGTGTGATCCGCCCGCCTCGGCCTCCCACAGTGCTGGGATTACAGGTGTGATCCGCCCGCCTCGGCCTCCCACAGTGCTGGGATTACAGGTGTGATCTGCCCGCCTCGGCCTCCCACAGTGCTGGGATTACAGGTGTGATCCGCCCGCCTCGGCCTCCCACAGTGCTGGGATTACAGGTGTGATCCGCCCGCCTCGGCCTCCCACAGTGCTGGGATTACAGGCTGAGCCACCGCGCCCGGCCTCCCACAGTGCTGGGATTACAGGTGTGATCCGCCCGCCTCGGCCTCCCACAGTGCTGGGATTACAGGCTGAGCCACCGCACCTGGCCGGGTGTTTGTTATTATTACCATTGCCATAATGTCGCATCTACAGAATCCCACAGTGTTTAGCATTTTGCCATATGTGATTTAAGTAGACCCTTCACTGAAGAGGAGATACACATGGCAAATAACCACATGAGAACATGCTCCGCATTCTGAGTCATCAGGACAATGCAAACTTAAACCCCAGCGAACTCTCTCTACACAGCAGTGTTGGCTGAAGTAAAGGTACATCTGCTGTGCAGCACTGTCCAGAACGTGCGGCTCTGCGGGTATGTTTGAGTTCAAACCTCCCATCTCACTTGGGTTTTTGCTTATTCAAGGAATCTACTCCCTTTTATCTCCTTGCTTTACTGTTTTTGGATTGTTTTGAGGTTTTTTAATTTTTTCATTTTCCCTTCACTATATTAGTTCCTAGTGCTGCCACACTAATTACAGCAAGAGAGTGAATCTCACAGTTCTGAGGGTCAGGTACCTGAAATGAAGCTTTCCACAGGGCCAGGCTTTCTCTGAGCTCTGGGGGAGAGTCTGTCCTTGCCCCTTCTAGCTTCTGCTGGTGCCCAGCAAACCCTGATGTCCCTTGGCTAACAATCTTTGCCTCTATTGACGTATCATCTTTTTCCCTTTGGGTGTATGTCTGCACTTCCTTCTCCTTTCTCTGGTAAAGACACTGGACATTGGATTTAAGGTTCACTATGATCTTGTACGACTTGACTAATTATATCTGCAAAGACCTGATTTCCATGTAAGGTCACATTGTGAGGTTCTGGGGGATATGACTTTTGGGGAGGCATAATTCAACCGGGTACATGTATCTACTTCCTAGCGAGCTGAATGTTCTTTTGCTATTATAGTAGGGATTACAACATGAATCCATGACTTGTTAAAGTCCAATGTAAGTTAGACCTTATATTATTTTCAGATGGTGCCGTGTGCTTAAGCCACTTTAACTCCATGTATCTTCCTCCGAATTTTGTATTCTTGCCGTGTATTTTATTTCTGTAAATATCTTACAACATATGTTTTACACAGTCAACATTCATTTAGATTTCCCATATGTTCTTCTTCTGTTGCACCTAATTCCCTCACCAACTTCTCGCTTCCATCTGTGATCATTTTTGTTCTGCCCAGTGCTCCCTTTCGTGTTTTCCTTAGTGCAGATCCTGCTGGTGACACATTCCCTCAGTGTCCAGAGGAGGTCATTATTCTGTTCTCTTTTGGGGGAATCTTCTTCCCAGGTATACAGTTCTAGCTCTGTGCTTCTTTTCTTTCAGATAGTAAATGTATCACTGCATTGTCCTCTGCCTTCCATCCTTTCCACTGAGAAGTCACCTGTGAATGTCATCCTGGCTTCTTTGAAGGTAATATGCCTTTTTTTCCTCTGGCTGTTTTTAAATTTTCTCAGTCTTTGGATTTCAGCCCCAATGTGCCCAGGTGTGGTTTTCTTTGTTTTCCGTTGCTAAAGATTCTTGGTTTGGGGAAGGTTCCTTTTTTTCTTTTTCTTTCTTTCTGGTACTTGTCTATTATGTCTTCAAATATTTTGCTAACCCTATTTTACTCCTCCCTTGTAGGATTTCAATCATTTTCCCCACAACTTTTCACAAAATATAGGCGTGTTTATTGCTCCACTTTTTTTACGTCTCTCTTTTCTTTCCTACTCAGGTCTGACATCTCCTCATCTCCCTTCCTTTAGGAATCTTCTCTTTAGGTTTGTTTGTATGTTGTTAAGCTCAGCTACTTGGGTCTGAATTTCAGCTGTTGTGTTCTTTGTTTCCAGAATGTCTGATTCCATTTGATGAATCCAGTTTGACACTAAAGTTCTCCATTTGTCCTCTGTTTTCTTGAGCAAGCTAATTGGCATTACTCTGAATTCCAGTTTGACAATTCTAATATCTAAAAGCCCCACGTATCTGTTTCTCTTGTTGGTATTTTCCTCTTGGTCCTTTGGTCTTGTTCTCTAGCACCCCTAGTCATTTTTGACTGAATGTCGGACTTTATGACAATTTGTCGGATTATTTGAGCCTCTGTTGCTGCTGCTGTCTGCAGAGGAGATCGCTTTTGTTTCCGGGGGGCAGTTAGGCTGCGGATAGGCCACATGAGTTCAATACGAGCCGATTTAAAGATAAGCTGCGTTCTTTCTGGTTGTTCCTTCCTCCTAGGGAGTAGCCCTTCACTTATATTCAGCATTTCCAACTGAAAGCCTGCGGTTTTTTTTAACTAGAATCCCCCCACCTTGTCAGGTCCTGAACTCTGTGTGTTTTTCTTCTAATTTCATGAGACTACAAAAAGCTGTGCTCAGCTGATCAGCCTCTCGTCCTATTGGCTGTGGCCTGTGAATTGGTGAATGTCTCAATAAGAAAATCTGCAAAGAATATCGGACTCACTTCTGTGCAGTTTCTCTCTAATGGGGATTCACTCACTCGGGTCTCAGCCGTCTTGACACCTCCCGGCCCCTTTGAACAGATTTTGTTTGTAAATCAGATTTCTAATTTTTCTCAGCTGTATGGCCACTCTGATGTAAGCCAGTTCTCCCTACACAAAAGCAGAACTTGGCAGAGCATTTTACACAGCATTAGAAAAAGGCGGCACAATGGAATCATTTTCAAAAGCAGAACTTGACAGAGCATTTTACACAGCATTAGAAAAAGGCGGCACAATGGAATCATTTTCAGGGTTCAAAATTACTCTTCAATAGTTTCTCCAAAAAAGTATATTATTTCAGCCCATTTTTGTAAAGGATCTTCCTTGTGCCAGGCAGTATTTTAGGCCTTTGAAGACTGAGTGGTGAACAAGACACAGTCCCTGCTCACATGAAGCTTACGTTTGGAGAACGGGAGCTGAGGACAGCAAGGACACTGAACAGGAACAGGGAAGAGACGCGGCACAGAGACCCTGATGGCGCCAGGTGCAGGGCTCACGCCTGTCATCCCAGCTCTTTGGACAAGGCAGGAGGATCACTTGAGACCCCATCTGTACAAATATTTTAAGAAATATTGATAATGGGACTTGAATTATCTATTATTGAAGCACATCATAAAGCAATGGCCTTTAAGAGTAGAACCAAATCCATGCCCAAAATGGACCAGTGAAAACTTTTCTTTCCTGTCTGAAACCCAGTCCTATCCCCAGCATTCCCACGTGCAAGTCTGAGTGGGCCTCGGGGCAGGCCGTGGGGCGGGACGTGGCCTCTCCTTCCTTGCTCCTCTTCTCCCTGTTTTGAGCTCTAACTCCTCCAGTGACAGGGACGGGGAAGGAATGTGCAGGGCCACCACTGTGGGGCTCACTGGCCACTGCTGCCCCTTCTCTCCAGGTGCTCCAGTGCTCCCATCTTCTACCCGCTGCTCCTGCCTCTTCAGTGAGGACCGGCTTTAGGGAGGAGATGCCCCCATCATCGTGAGTGGGACAGCTCTCGCTTGGGATGCCACACTTTGCTTAAGGCTGAAGGGTCACCCCCACCTCCACAGCCCCCTTCTTACAACCAGGGCTGCACTAGTGGGTGCTGGGACCAGGCCCACCTTCACTCTTGCCTCAGGGATCTACATGGGACAGGACACAGCTCAGACTTGACGGGAGATTTATGAGCTGGGCCACATTACAGGCAAACACACATCCCTAATCATGACAGACGCTTCCTTTCAGCAATAAGGAAGGGGAGGTTGGGGGGCTGGGACAACAAGGCCAGGAGGGGTATAAAAGCCTGAGAGCCCCAAGCACCTCACACACTCACACAGTCACTCACTCACTCACACTTCCCCCAGCTCACCTCCTCCACACCCCAGCATGGCCGCATCCACCATGTCCGTCTGCTCCAGTGCTTGCTCCGACTCCTGGCAGGTGGACGACTGCCCAGAGAGCTGCTGCGAGCCCCCCTGCTGTGCCCCCAGCTGCTGTGCCCCAGCCCCCTGCCTGACCCTGGTCTGCACCCCAGTGAGCTGTGTGTCCAGCCCCTGCTGCCAGGCGGCCTGTGAGCCCAGCCCCTGCCAATCAGGCTGCACCAGCTCCTGCACGCCCTCATGCTGCCAGCAGTCTAGCTGCCAGCCGGCTTGCTGCACCTTCTCCCCCTGCCAGCAGTCCTGCTGTGTGTCCGTCTGCTGCAAGTCTGTCTGCTGTGTGCCCACCTGCTCTGAGGATTCTTCATGCTGCCAACAGTCTAGCTGCCAGCCGGCTTGCTATGCCTCCGCCCCCTGCCAGCAGGCCTGCTGTGTGCCCGTCTGCTGCAAGTCTGTGTGCTGTGTGCCTGTCTGCTCTGGGGCTTCTACTTCATGCTGCCAGCAGTCTAGCTGCCAGCCGGCTTGCTGCACCACCTCCTGCTGCAGACCCTCCTCCTCTGTGTCCCTCCTCTGCCGCCCCTTGTGCAGGCCTGCCTGCTGTGCCCCCGCCTCCTCCTGCTGTGCCCCCGCCTCCTCCTGCCAGCCCAGCTGCTGCCGCCCGGCCTCCTGTGTGTCCTTCCTCTGCCACCCCACGTGCTCCCGCCCTGCCTGCTGAGGACTTGGCTCAGGCCAGGAATCCAGCTGCTGATGGGCAGGTGCCCAGCCTCAGGTCCTGACCTGGGTTAGGTGGCTGTCCCCACCTAGGGATGGGTCCTCGTGTCTCCCCTGAGCTGAGGTGACCACCCTCCTTGCTCCCAGGAGCCCCCATCCTCACTGCTCCCCAGCTCCTGCCTTCTAGCACTTGCCCACTTGCTGCTGGGCCCCTGTCCTCCCTCCCAGCTTCTCTGCCCTGGGTCATTTGGCCTGTCAGCACCTCCTCCTGCTCCCAATAAACTCTCCTTGGTCACCTGATTCTCTTCTCCTGTGTGCTCCTGGTAGGGGGACACACATGGTTTGAGCTGACATCGGTCTCCTCCAGCCATGACTGTTTCTAGGAATGAGTGACTTAACCTAGAAGTCACAGGGGAGTGGACTAACTCCTCCAAGGGGTCACCAGGTGGGGGTCACCAGGTGGGACTCACAGCCATACCAGGAAGGCTCAGTCCTGGCTCAGCCCCATGCCTGGGTCTTCCTGAGCCTAGTCATTCGCTGCCCTGCACTGGGCTGTGGGGCTCTCCAGACCCCAGCACTGTCGCACCCACTGTCCCACCTGGGCAAGCCCACCATGTAGAGTCAGTTGCTGGGAAGCTGGCCTGGCGTCCCCGCACCACAGCCTCCAGGCCTAGTCACCCTACCTGTGTGCCACCCCCAAAGGTTCTGCCCATTTAGCAGAAATCAGAGGGGAAAGTGAGGGGCTGCTGCACCTGTGTGGGAGACAGGGGGCTTGGTGGGGCTCAGTGGGACCTGGAGGGGGCAGAGGGACGCATAGGATTCTCCCAGGGACTCAACGAGGACAGGAGCATCATGGGGGTGGGGAGGGACACCCAGGATTCCATTGCCCAGTTTCTCCTCTAGGGGCACCAGGTTGAGATGCCTGGTGGTATAGGGATGTATAGGGATGAAGAGCTGGGGCTCCCGCAGATGACCCAGGGTGGGCACAGTCAGTGATGCCCCTGTCCCTCTAAGGCTTTGTCCATGTGGGGAGCATGAGCTGCCTGTGATGTCCTGTGGGAAAGGCCATCAGCGGGGACAGTGGTGACATCAGGCCACGCATGGGGCTCTGCCACCAGGGGTGGGTGCAGGGCAGTGAGTCCTCTGGCTGTGAGACAAGCTCCTCCAGGCCAGCTGCAGAGACCAAAACCCAGTCATGAATGCCCACCCCAGATGCTCAGATGCCCATGGCCAGGCCAGCCACAGCCTGATAGATGTGGTCAGAACAGGTGCAGAAACACCACAGAAAGTGGCCTGGAGCCCAGGGGGAGGCCCCGCGTGGTTGCTGCACAGTGCCCTCGTGGCTCGGCCCTCAGCTCCCTGCCCTCCGCGCTGGCGGCTGCTGGGAACCTCCACCGCCTAAGTGCACGGCCGTCCACACTGCTTCCCGGCACATTCCTAGCCCATTTTCTATCATGCTCTTTGCGTTTTTCTTGAGGATTGAGGGCTGGGGATCCTCTGTCCATATTTCCAGCCCATTGCTGCTTCCGTACCACACACCCCCTGAGACTGAAAACTGGTCTAAATGTGCTGATATTGGTTCATTGCTATTGCTTAGATCTAACTTTTTGCTGATATGACTTGTGTGAGGTTTGACGCATTAATCTTTCTCTTCCACTGATAGCCAACTGTCCTTTCTTAAAGTCAGTTTATCCTCTCCATCTCCCATCTGAAACATCCCTTTGGCTGATAAAAATGTTGGTACAGTGTACTTCTGAAATCTCTGTTTTGTTCTGTTAACCTCTTGATCTACCTGTGCACCCACCCAGACATTTTATCCACGTCATTCCGCCTTGTAACATATCCTAACAGCGCGTAAGGAAGGTGCCACTTTCTCATTTTTAAAAACATTGGTTCTAGCTGGTATATATACTCTTCTCAATTAATTTTAGAAAGCTCTTCAAGTATCTTTAAAACTGCTATAATTTTGATTGGGATTGCATTGAGCTTTTAAATATTTAGGAGGAAACTATAATTTTTAATATTGCCTTCCAGTTACATAGTGAAATTGGTCCATTTAGAATTTTATCATTTTCTTTTATAGGTCTAAAATATTCCTGTTTGGATTAACTCCTAGGTATTTCATAGGCATGTTTTACTAGTGTAGTGGGGAACAGTTTTCTATTACGTTGTCTTAGCATATAAATCTCAAATATGGGGGGCCATGGTGGCTCCAGCCAGTCGTCCTGGCACTTGAGGAGGTGAGGCCATGAGTTCAAGGCTAACCTGAGCAACGTTACATGCTCTCATTGATTGACAAAAAAAAATAAAAACTCAACTATGATACATGTCTGTATAAATCGTTCACATACACGTTGCCTTCCTATCAAGGCATGTGTGTAGCTCCTGTCCTCTGCAGGTCCTCTTGGTAGACGAGCTCATCATTTGAAAATAAGGAGAATTTAACTTTGTATTTCCAGTCTTTACAACTCCCACTTCTATCGTTTCTCCTGTCACAACATTACTTTGAGCACCCAGAATGATGCTGAATAAAATTAGAAGAATCCCTGATGGTTCCTGATTTTTCTGAGGATGAGTCAAAGGTTCACCACTGCACGTGTGGTTTGCTGTGGGCTTTGGGTAGAAACCTTTTATTTTTAAGCCAAATCTTTCTATTTCCTTTTTGCTGTGAATTTTCATTTACTAGAATCAAGAAGCCAGAGGAAAAGTAAGCATATGAAATAAAGATGAGGAGGATCTTTTTAAAGAAGACACAAATAGAACATCTAGAGAGGAAAACGACCATGCCTGAGGTGAAACTGACACGGGACGATATTAACAGCAGAGTAAACACTGCAGAAGAAAAATCAAGTGCATTTGAAGACACAGCAGTAGAAATGATCTAAAATGCAACACGGACAAAAAGCAAAGCATTAGTGGGTTGTAGGAAACATCCAGTAACCGCATATACATGCAACTGGGGTCCCCAAAGAAGAAGAGAGAGAAGGAGGCATGGAAAAGACACCGTCGGATTAGATAAAAAGCCAAATCTCAACCATGCTTCTTGCCTGAACTACACTTTACATAAAATAACATAAAGAGGTTAAAGTTTTTTAAAGAGAAAAGGACTAAATTAATCCCGAAGCAGGCATAAGGTATGAAATGGATTAAGTGAAAAACATTAAAACAGTGTGATGATCAATGAAACCAGAGCTTGTTCTTTGAAAAGATAAGTCTTAATCTAGTTTTAACTAGACATAAATGTCTAGTTAAACTGACTGGGAAAAGATAATGAAGACACAAATTATCAGTATCAGGAATGGAAGAGGCATTGCCATACACCCCACAAGCATCTGAAGAATGAAAAGGGGCCAGAGCAGTGGATCACACGTGTAATCCCAGCATTTTGAGAGGCTGAATTGGGAGGACTGCTTGAGGCCAAGAGTTCAAGACTAGACTGGGCAATATAGCGAGATTCCATCCATATAAAAAATTTAAAATTACCTGCGCAGGTGGCGTGTGCATATAGTCCCAGCTACTTGGGAGGCTGAAGCAGGAGGATCACTTGAGCCCAGGAGTTCAAGGCTGCAGTGGACCATGATCACGCCACTGCACCTTAGCCTGGGCAACAGAGTGAGACTTTGTCTCAAAAATAAAAATAAATAAATAAAAAGAAAATACAACAATTCTATGCCCATAAATTGGGTAATTAATATGAACTGGGCCCATTGCTTGAAGGCACAAACTATTAAAAAACAGATAACCCTAATTGTCCTGTATTAATTTTTTAATAAACTTCATGTTTTAGAGCAGGTTTAGGTTCACAGCAAAACTAAGTGAAAATTCCAGCATTCCCATATATCCCCTGCCCCACACATGCTCAGCCTCCCTCATTACCAACGTCCCCACCAGCGTGGCACATCTATGACAAGTGATGAGCCTGCACTGACCCATCCTCACCACCCAGAATCCACAATGTACATGAGGCCTCACTCTTGGTGTGACCCACATTATGTGGCTTTGGGCAAAGGTGTAAAGACACGATTTGTCGTTAAAGCCTCACACAGAGTTCCACTGCCCTAAAGATCCTCTGTGCTCTGCCCAGTCATCCCCCTCTCTCCTCTGCCCTAAAGATCCTCTGTGCTCTGCCCGGTCATCCCCCTCTCTCCTCTGCCCTAAAGATCCTCTGTGCTCTGCCCGGTCATCCCCCTCTCTCCTCTGCCCTAAAGATCCTCTGTGCTCTGCCCGGTCATCCCCCTCTCCTCTGCCCTAAAGATCCTCTGTGCTCTGCCCGGTCATCCCCCTCTCTCCTCTGCCCTAAAGATCCTCTGTGCTCTGCCCGGTCATCCCCCTCTCCTCTGCCCTAAAGATCCTCTGTGCTCTGCCCGGTCATCCCCCTCTCCTCTGCCCTAAAGATCCTCTGTGCTCTGCCCGGTCATCCCCCTCTCCTCTGCCCTAAAGATCCTCTGTGCTCTGCCCGGTCATCCCCCTCTCCTCTGCCCTAATGATCCTCTGTGCTCTGCCCAGTCATCCCCCGTGCTCTGCCCTTGGCAACCGCTGATCTTTTCACTATCTCCATAGCTTTGCCTTTTCCAAAAAGTCATGTGTTTGGAATCACACAGTATGTAGCCTGTTCAGATTAGTTTCCATCACTTAATAATATGCATTTAAGGTTTTTCCAGACCTTTTCATGACTTAACAGCTCATTTCTTTTTAGCACTGAATAATAACCCACTGTCTGGATGCACCACAGTTTATCCATCTGCCTACTGAAGGGTATCTTAGCTGCACCCAAGTTCTGCCAACTATTAACAAAGCTGCTATAAGCACCTTTGTACAGGTTTTTGTGTAGACCTAAGTTTTTAGCTCATTTGGGTAAATTCCAAGGAGCATAATTGCTGGATCCTGAGAGTGTTTTTTGTTCTGTAAGAAACCACGAAACTGTCCTCCAAAGTGGCTGCACCCTCTTGCATTCCCACCAGCACTGAATGGGAGTTCCCGTTGCTCCATGTCCTTATCAGCATTTGGTGCTGTTGGTGTTTGGGATTTTGGCCATTCTTACAGGTGTGTAGTAGTGTCTCAAACTCTCTAATGACGTGGGATGTTCAGTATATGTTCATGCACTTCTCTGCCATCTGTAAATCTTCCTTGGGGAGGCATCTGTTCAGGTCTTTTGCCCATGTTTGTAACTGGGTTATTCATTTTCTTATTGTTGGGCTTTAAGAATTCTTTTAATATTTTGGACAACCACTTTTATCAGATATGTCTTTTGCAAATATTTTTTTCCAGTCTGTGGCTCGTCTTCTCATTATTGTGCTGTTCTATGTCAATTTTAAAGAAAGCGTCAGGCCCAGACTGTCCACTAGTGAATGTAAGTATCAAAACACTTAAAGAAGAAAAAAATGACAATTCTATACAATCTCTTCATAAAATAGGAGACAGAACACTTCACTACTCCTCTCAAGAGGCCAGCATTACTCTGATACCCAAAACAGATAAAGACATCACATAAAAGGAAACTACAGACCAATATCCCTAGTGAATATAGACACAGAAATCCTCAACAAAATATTAGCAAGTCAAGCAAAACACGAAAAGACCAACACATTACAACCAGGTTGTATTCGCCCCAGAAATGCAAGGGTAGCTCAACAATTAAAAAAAAAAAACATAAAAACACACTGAAAGTAATTCACCATATTAACAGACCAAAGAAGAAAAACAATATAATAACTTCAATAGATACAGGAGGAAATTTTACAAAATTCAACACCAATTCATGATTTCTTTAAAAAGCTCTCAATGATGATATTTATTTGAAAGGTATTTATTTCTCTATAAAGGAAAGGTATTTATTTGAAAGGTATTAATTTGGCTCATGGTTCTACAGCTGTACAAGCATGGTGCCAGCATCTGCTCAGCTTCTGGTGAAGCCTCAGGAAGCTTACAATCATGGTGGAAGGCAAAGCGGAACAGTGTGTCACATGTTGAGAGAGCAAGCTAGGGCAAGAGAATGACATAAAGTTGGAACTTATAATTAAAGGGGAAGCAGATCATAAAAAATTGGAAAATCCATGGACTGGCCATGTGGTAAAGAAGGAAAAAGCATTTTCAGGAGAGAAATACAAACAGGCTATGGAGCATTGCTAGTGAGATTTGCATGCTGAAAGGGAGCCAGAGGCTAACATCCAAGACAACAGGGGGAAAGGCCTTGAAGGCATTTCAGAAATCTCTGAAGCAGCTCCTCCATCAGAGGCCCAGGAGCCTGGGAGAAAAGAATAGTTTCAGGGGCCTCCCTGGTCACCCAGGGAGGCTGCTCCCACATGCCCTGTGTCACCCAGGGAGGCTGCTCCCACATGCCCTGTGTCACCCAGGGAGGCTGCTCCCACATGCCCTGTGTCACCCAGGGAGGCTGCTTTCACATGCCCTTTCACCCATGGAGGCTGCTCCCACATGCCCTGTCACCCAGGGAGGCTGCTCCCACATGCCCTGTGTCACCCAGGGAGGCTGCTCCCACATGCCCTGTCACCCAGGGAGGCTGCTCCCACATGCCCTGTGTCACCCAGGGAGGCTGCTCCCACATGCCCTGTGTCACCCAGGGAGGCTGCTCCCACATGCCCTGTGTCACCCAGGGAGGCTGCTCCCACATGCCCTGTGTCACCCAGGGAGGCTGCTCCCACATGCCCTGTGTCACCCAGGGAGGCTGCTCCCACATGCCCTGTCACCCAGGGAGGCTGCTCCCACATGCCCTGTGTCACCCAGGGAGGCTGCTCCCATATGCCCTGTGTCACCCAGGGAGGCTGCTCACACATGTCCTGTCACCCAGGGAGGCTGCTCACACATGCCCTGTGTCACCCAAAGAAAGAGTATTTGAAAGAATTACATGGGGGCAAAAAAAAGTGAACCTCAACTGGTATCCCATACTTAATGTAAAAATTAGAATTGATCATAGACCTAAATGCAAATGTAAAAGTTTTTAACATTAAAAGAAAAAAACACAGGGGAAAAATCTCTATGACCTAGTATCAGGCAGATTCAATACCAAAAGCATGACCTAGAAAAGATAAAGGCTGATAAATTGGACTTTTTCAATATTAAAACTTTTATCTTCAAAAGACGCCTAAGAAAATGCAAAAGATAGGCACTGACTAATGGAACATGTTTGCAAATACACATTTGACCACACATTTGCTTTACATATATCCATAATATATACAGCATCCCCAAAATTTAACATCAAGAAAACCTGATTTAAAAAGGGGGCCTATGGGCATGGTGGAATCCCAGCACTTTGGGAGGCCAGGTGGGTGGATCACCTGATGTCAGGAGTTCAAGACCACCACTCTGGCTGACATGATGAAACCTCATCTCTACTATGGAGGCGGCACCTGTAATCCCAGCTACATGGGAGGCTGAGGCAGGAGAGTCACTTGAACCCAGGAGGCGGAGGACCCCGTGAGCCCAGATCATGTCACTCCAGCCTGGGTGAGATGGTGGGACTTTTCTTTTCTCCAAAAAGAAAACAATAATAATAAAAATGAACAAATAAAAGGGAGCCTGAAAATGTAATGTTTCTACATTTTGCCGAAAAAGAGGCACAGATGGCAAATAAGCACATGAAGAGATGCTCGGTGTGTTTCCTTAGGGAACGCAAGTGAAAGCCACAGACGCCCTACACACGTGCTGGAACGGCTGTGTGGCGAGACCGACCACGGCAAGTGCTGGCCAAGAAGGGGGAACAGAGCACCACCCGTTGTTGGCGGAAGCGTGAACCGCCACATCCACTCCAGCAAATGCTTTGGCAAACAGGCACGCTGAGTATGTCCAGCGCATCATTAATCACCAGCTACAATGGCGATTACCAGTTACCCCTGCACGCTTGTAGAATGGCCAGCTTTTTTTTTGTTTTTGTTTTTGTGTTTTAACTCACAACATCAAGTACTGGCAAGGATGGATGGGAACGAGAACTCTCAGACGTTGCTGGCAGAAACGTAAAACAGCACTGCCACCTGGGAAAACAGTCTGGCAGTTTCTTATAGTTAAACAGGCACTGACCATGTGATCCAGCAATCCCACGCCTGGGAATTTACCCCAGAGAAAGATAACTCATTATCACGCCAAAACCGTACACAGGCAATGTGTGTAGAAGCTTTGTTCATAATCATCAAAACGGGAGACGAGACATCCTTCAGTCATTGAATGAATAAACGAACTGTGGCATACCCGTACAATGGAAGACTACTGCGCAGTGAAAAGCAACACACTACTGACGCACAGCACGATATGGAGGAATCCCAAGCGCACTTTGCTAAGTGAAACAACTGAGACCTGCCAGGCGACACACTGCATGCTTTTCTTGAGTATTCTACACATCGAATGTCCAACGTACACGACATTCTAGAAGAGACATGAGTGAGGGAGGGGCTGGCCACAGTGAGTCAACGCAAGGGGATTTTTGAGGATGCTAGAATTCCTCTCCCCGGCACTGTGGTGGTAGATACAGGATTCCATGCCCTTGTCAAAACCCACAGAACTGTAGACCACGACGGGTAAATTAAATGAAGAAGGAGAAAGAGGGGGAGAGGGGAGGAGGAGGATTACAGCCTCCCTGGGTGACAGGACAGCAGCAGGAGGATCACTCATTGTTACTTGCTTCTACAAGGTTAAGGGAAGCAGGTGTCCTTCCTCTCCCTGAAGAAGTTAACAACCTCATCTTGGCTGATTTTTTTTTTTTTTTTTTTGGCTTCTTTCTTGTTCTGTTTTGAATTTCACTTCTCTTCGAAGTTGCTTTCTGTTTTGGGCACCACGTGCTCTGGAGACATATTCACAGTCGCATTGTGTGAAACTAATTTCCCTTCACCAGGTGACTTAGCAGCTTCTGTGTTCCTAGGAACTTTCCCGCAGACTAAGACTCGGCTCAGGTGTCTTTGGACATGCAAACTTCCTGCCCGTCTCTCTGGAGGCTTTGAGGGTTTTTCTTTACATTTGGTGTTGGAAATGGCACCAGCTTGTCTAGATGTGCACCATTCGCCATTCAATTTGTCCCATATTTGATAAAATTTCAAATCTGAAGACCCTTGTTTTCATTCCGTCCTGGAAAGTTTTCTCCTGCTTCTCCCCTTTGCTCTCTCTTTCTGGAAAATCTTATTTGATGAATATCAGATATTCTGGAAGAATCACTTTCTCTTGCGATTGCTTCTGCATATTGCGTCTCTGCCATTCCGTGCTGTGTGTGACGGTCTCTTCCCGTTAACTCCTCGCTGCGGCGGCTCAAGCCTGCCCTTCAGCCCTTCTCTGCGTGCAGTGCTTCTCAGCTCACGAGCAGCACTCATCAGAGGGGCCCCAGCTCTGCCCTGACCCTCGGTGCCCTGTTGCCCAGCCATAGAGACTGGGAATTCAGGTCCCCTCACCTGCAACGTGACAGCGAGTGCAGAACTTGAAAGACAGGTTGCGTGCTGAGGATACGTCTTCCCTGAAACGTCTGCTTAGAGGACCAGCCTCGGAACAGGGAATCGACACAGGCCACAACCCTAACTGCGTATTTTACAGGCTTGGCAAACACTGTTGTGTAAACAAACTAGAACTAATGAGGACTTCCAGAACCCAGCTCCAAACTCCAACAAGGAAAGGGAAGACTCGTGGAGCCCCCAGCTAAAACAACACACGCCCTGGCCAGATATAAAAGCCCAGCTGCCCACAACACCTCAGACACTCACACACACTCCTCACTCACTCACTCACTCCCCCCCCCAGCTCAACCATGTCTGTCTGCTCCAGCGACCTGAGCTACAGCAGCCGCGTCTGCCTTCCTGGTTCCTGTGACTCTTGCACTGATTCCTCCTGGCAGGTGGACGACTGCCCAGAGAGCTGCTGCGAGCCCCCCTGCTGTGCCCCCAGCTGCTGCGCCCCAGCCCCCTGCGTGACCCTGGTCTGCACCCCAGCCAGCTGTGTGTCCAGCCCCTGCTGCCAGGCAGCCTGTGAGCCAATCCCCTGCCAATCAGGCTGCACCAGCTCCTGCACGCCCTTGTGCTGCCAGCAGTCTAGCTGCCAGCCGGCTTGCTGCACCTTCTCCCCCTGCCAGCAGGCCTGCTGTGTGCCTGTCCGCTGCAAGTCTGTCTGCTGTGTGCCCACCTGCTGCAAGCCTGTGTGCTGCATGCCCACCTGCTCTGAGGGCTCCTCTTCATGCTGCCAGCAGTCTGACTGCCAGCCGGCTTGCTGTACCTCCTCCCCCTGCCAGCAGGCCTGCTGTGTGCCCGTCTGCTGCAAGCCTGTCTGCTGCAAGTCTGTGTGCTGTGTGCCCACCTGCTCTGAGGATTCCTCTTCATGCTGCCAGCAGTCTAGCTGCCAGCTGGCTTGCTGCACCTCTTCCCCCTGCCAGCAGGCCTGCTGTGTGCCCGTCTGCTGCAAGCCTGTGTGCTGTGTGCCCAAATGCTCTGGGGCTTCTACTTCATGTTGCCAGCAGTCTAGCTGCCAGCCGGCTTGCTGCACCACCTCCTGCTGCAGACCCTCCTCCTCCGTGTCCCTCCTCTGCCGCCCCGTGTGCAGGCCTGCCTGCTGCGTGCCCGTCCCCTCCTGCTGTGCCCCCACCTCCTCCTGCCAGCCCAGCTGCTGCCGTCCAGCCTCCTGCGTGTCCCTCCTCTGCCGCCCTGCGTGCTCCCGCCCAGTCTGCTGAGGCTTCTGCTCAGCCCAGGAGTCCAGCTGCTGCCGGGCACTTCCCCCAGGGCCAGCCGGGCTCAGGTCTTGATCTGGCTTAGGTGGCTGCCCCCAGCTGGGGACAGGGTTTTCCATGTCTCCACTGTGCTGGGGTGACCACTCTCCTTGCTCCCAGGAGCCCCCATCGTCACTGCTCCCCAGCGCCTGCCTCCCAGCATGTGCCCACCTGCCCCCGTCGTCCTCCCTCCCAGCTTCTCTGCCCCAGGTCATTTGGCCTCAACTTGAGCCTGTCAGCACCTCCTCCTGCTCCCCAATAAACTCTCCTTGGCCACCTGATTCTCTTTTCCTGTTGTGCTCCTGGGGAGACACATGGTTTGAACTGACACTGGTCTCCTCCAGCCATGACTGTTTCTAGGAGAAAGGGCAGTGACGTAACTCCTCTGGATGGGTCACCAAGTGAGACTGCAGCCACACCCAGGAAGGCTCAGTCCCTGCTCAGCCCCCTCATGCCCTGGGTATGAACAGGGCTGGGTGGAGTCTCCCTTGCCACAATTCTCCTGGCTGTGGGGTCAGCTCTCCCTTCCCAGCTAGCTCCCTGCCCCACGCCAGAGCTCCCTAGTGTTCCTGTCCTCACCAGAAGGATTTTGCCTTTCCTTTGTCACTTACTGGCATCCACGTATCACACCCTCTTTCTGAAGGCCTCCAGTTGGGAGTGTTCCCTCTCACGGGGAGGGAGGTGAGTTCAGGTGGCCGCCTCCCACCACGGACATCAAAGGGGCTGGGCCGTCTTCTCCACTCCCCAAACAGCCAGGGTCACGGGGCCCAAACCAGGACAAGTGGTTTTTGCTGAATTGAATGTTAAATTACACATGCAGACCACAGAGGGTGTCTCACTTCTTTAGAAAAGTGGCTTCCTAGAATATGGCTTCCAGTTTCACACGGGCGAAGACTTGCTAAAATATACATGCAGTCGCTTAATGACTGGGTTACGTTTTGAGGAATGCATGTGTCAGGAGATATTGTCATTGTATGAATGTCACAGACTGTGTTTACACACACCCAGATGGTGCAGGCACTACACACACCCAGATGGTGCAGGCACTACACACCCAGATGGTGCAGGCACTACACACACCCAGATGGTGCAGGCACTACACACACCCAGATGGTGCAGGCACTACACACACCCAGATGGTGCAGGCACTATACACACCCAGATGGTGCAGGCACTATACACACCCAGATGGTGCAGGCACTACACACCCAGATGGTGCAGGCACTACACACACCCAGATGGTGCAGGCACTACACACCCAGATGGTGCAGGCACTACACACACCCAGATGGTGCAGGCACTACACACACCCAGATGGTGCAGGCACTATACACACCCAGATGGTGCAGGCACTATACACACCCAGATGGTGTAGGCACTACACACCCAGATGGTGCAGGCACTACACACCCAGATGGTGCAGGCACTACACACACCCAGATGGTGCAGGCACTACACACCCAGATGGTGCAGGCACTACACACCCAGATGGTGCAGGCACTACACACACCCAGATGGTGCAGGCACTACACACCCAGATGGTGCAGGCACTACACACCCAGATGGTGCAGGCACTACACACACCCAGATGGTACAGGCACTACACACCCAGATGGTGCAGGCACTACACACCCAGATGGTGCAGGCACTACACACACCCAGATGGTGCAGGCACTACACACCGAGGCTCTGCGGCTCCTGGGCTTACAGGCTGACGGCACGTCGCTGTGTGAATACTGGCCATTGTCGACTGGAACACGGTGTGGCCGCACATGGCTGTGTACGCTGTTTTCATACCTGCTTTACTCTTCAGGCCTCATCACGTTCAGTTCTACACTTGCGTTAGGCGAGGAATTAATGGAATCTAATGGCAGCTAAGTATAAGCCAGTGCTTTGTTTCACAAAACCCACGGAGGAAAGGAACCCACGAAGCGCTGAGGTCTCACTGGACACTGCGTGTCTATACTTTTTTTAAATTGTGGTAAAATACACATAACATAAAATTTGCCACCTACACTATTTTCAGGTGTTCAGTTCAGTGGCATTCAGGACATTCATGCTGTGCAAACATCACCACCGTCCATTTCCAGAACTTCTTCCTCCCCCCCAAACTGACACTCTGCACCCACTAAACACTCACTCTCCACCACTCCCCAGCCCCGGCACCCACCACTCTACCTTTTGTCTCTATGAATCTGACCAGTTTAGGGACCTGATATCAGCAGAACAGCCCCAAGGTTCACCCACGTCATAGCGTGTGCCAGCATTTCCTTCCCTTTTCATGGCTAATATTCCACTGTATGGATGGACCACACTGTGTTTACCCGTCCATCCGTTCATAAACACTCGAGTTGCTTCTACCTTTTGGCAATTGTGAGTCAGCTGAACATGGGTGTACAAATATCTCTTTCAATTCTTTTTTTTTGTTTTTTTTTTGTGTTTTTATTGAGACGGAGTTTTGCTCTTGTTTCCCAGGCTGGAGTGCAATGGCGCGATCTCGGCTCACCACAACCTCTGCCTCCTGGGTTCAGGCAATTCTCCTGCCTCAGCTTCCTGAGTAGCTGGGATTACAGGCACGCGCCACCATGCCCAGCTAATTTTTTGTAGTTTTAGTAGAGACGGGGTTTCACCATGTTGACCAGGATGGTCTTGATCTCTTGACCTCGTGATCCACCCGCCTTGGCCTCCCAAAGTGCTGGGATTACAGGCGTGAGCCACTGCGCCCGGCCCATCTCTTTCAATTCTTTTGAGAATGGACACAGAAGTGGAGCTGCTGAACCATTTGGTAATTCTGTTTTTAAGTTTTGAGGAACTCTACTCTGTTTTCCACAGTGGCTGTACAGTGTTACATTCCCAGCAACACCGTGCAAGAGTTCCAGTTTCTCCACATTGCCGCCAGCATAGCACATTCTGCTCTTTAAACATTAACCATCCTAGTGCGTGGGGGCACCTTTGGTTTACCAGGGACCTGTGCTCCTGACTGAACCAGTCCCTACTGCCTGGCACCAGCCTTGCCCCTGGCCCAGCAGTCCCACCCTCCTCACACCAGCCCCGCCCCCTCACACCAGCTCCACCCCTCACACACCAGCCCCGCCCCTCACACCAGCCCCGCCCCTCACACACCAGCCCTGCCCCCTCACACCAGCCCCACCCCTCACTAGTCCCGCCCCTCACACCAGCCCCGCCCCCTCATACCAGCTCCACCCCTTACACACTCTTCACACACCAGCCCCGCCCCCTCAAACCAGCCACACCCTCTCACATCAGCCCTGCCGCTCACATGCCAGCCCCGCCCCTCACCAGCCCCGCCCCCTCACAACCAGCCACACCCCCTCACACCAACTCCACCCCTCCCACCAGCTCTGCCCCTCATACCAGCCCCGCCCTTCATAGCAGCTCTGCCCCTCACACACCAGCCCCGCCCCCTCACAGCAGCCCCACCCCTCACTAGTCCCGCCCCTCACACCAGCCCCACCCCTCACACACCAGCCCTGCTCCCACTAGCCCCACCCCCTCACAGCAGCCCCACCCTCACTAGCCCCGCCCCTCACACCAGCCCCACCCCTCACACACCAGCCCTGCTCCCACACTAGCCCCGCCCCCTCACAGCAGCCCCACCCCTCACTAGCCCCGCCCCTCACACCAGCCCCACCCCTCACACACCAGCCCTGCCCCCACACTAGCCCCGCCCCCCACACAGCCCCACCCCTCACTAGCCCCGCCCCTCACACAAGCTCTAGCCCTCCATCAACCCATCCCTCCTCATTAGAAGGCCCCATCCACCCTGCCCTGCCCTTCCCCCCACGCCCCCTCCTCGGCCTCGCCCCTCCAGCCAGCCCCTGCTGTCTCACCACCTGTGCCCATCGCCTCTGCCCTTCCCACCAGCCCTGCCCCCGAGCCGAGCCCCTCCCCGCCCCGCGCTGAGCCGGCCTGCTCTCCACAGAGGAACGAGTACCTGCTGACCGTGGTGGCCGAGGAGAGCGACCTGCTGTTGCTCGGCCTGCGCTTCTCGCCCTCCCAGCTGCACTTCCTGTTCCTCAGCGAGGACGTGGCCGGTGCCTGGCAGACCCGCGTGTCCTTCCGAAGCCCGGCCCTGGGGGACAGCCGCTGGCACACGCTGATCCTCGCTGTGACCGCAGGCGTCTTCTCCCTCACCACGGACTGCGGCCTCCCGCTGGACATGTAGGTACCCCCGCGGGGAGGGTGCCCCTGCGGCCGCAGAGCCCTGCCAGGCCAGGGGTCCATCAGCCATGCTCTCAGAGCAACACCTGTAGGAGCTGCCCTGGGGCAGGAGCCAACCAGGGGCCAGGAGCTATGGGGTGGAGGGGCTTTTCCTGTTCCTTCTGTGAGCAGACCGGGGGCCACCGCTCTCCTGTGGCCCTAACGCTGTCCTCTGATACTTTCAGAATGGCCGATGTGCCCTTCCCAGCCACCCTGTCAGTGAGAGGAGCTCGGTTCTTCATCGGCAGCCGGAGGAGAGCCAAAGGCCTATTCACGGTGAGTATGGAGGGGCTGCCCTCCCAACACCCGCACCCGTGGGACAGGGCTGCCCCGGCCGGTTGTCCTGCTGCTCTAGCTGAGCAGATCCTCAGATGTGCTAACTGGAAGGGAGGGCACAAGCATGCATGGAGTGTCTACCACAGGGCCTTCAAACTTGCTGTTTCCTCTTCCTGGCACCCTCCTCCCTGGTAGTCTTGGGTCCCTACCCAGCAGTCCTTTTCAGGCTGTCCCCACCATGTTGAGCCAATGCCCACACTGCACCCTTCCCCAGAGCTGCCGCTCCTCGGTAGTGCTGACTGCTCTCAGGCTGGCTGTGTGTCTGCTCGGCACCTATCTCTTATGTGAATATGAGCAGGGACCTCACTCCATGAGGCTAGAGGCTATGGTTCCCTACTTGGCCCAGTGTCTAGAGCCATGCCTGACACATAGCAGCTGCTGAATACTTATCAATGCATGCTTGGACAGATGGATGGATGAGTGGATGGAGGGATGGACAAATGGACAGATGAATGGATGGATGGTTGGGTGGATGAATGGGTGGAGAGGTGAACACATGGACAGAAAGATGGATGGATGGATGGATGGTTGAGGGATGGATGAATGGGTGGCTGAATGTGTAGTTGGATGGACGGACAGAGGGAAAGATGGATGGATGAATGGATGGGTGGATGGAGCGATTGATGGATGAGTGATGGAAAAATGGGTGGATGGATGGATAGATGGATGGATGAATGGGTGGATGGATAGATGAGGGATGGAGGAATGGATGGATGTGGGATGGAGGGATGAACAAATGGACAGATGAATGGATGGATGGTTGGGTGGAGGAATGGGTGGATAGGTGAACACATGGACAGAAAGATGGATGGATGGATGGATGGCTGGATGTTGAGGGATGGATGAATGGGTGGACAAATGTGTAGATGGATGGACAGACAGAGGGAGAGATGGCTGGATGAATGGATGGGTGGATAGAGCGATTGATGGATTAGTGATGGATGAATGGGTGGATGGATGGATGGATGAATGGGTGGATGGATGGATAGGTGAATGGATAGATGAGGGATGGATGAATGGATGGATGGTTGGGTGGATGAATGGGTGGAGAAGTGAACACATGGACAGAAAGATGGATGGATGGATGGATGTTGAGGGATGGATGAATGGGTGGATGAATGTGTAGATGGATGGACGGACAGAGGGAAAGATGGCTGGATGAATGGATGGGTGGATGGAGCGATTGATGGATGGATGAATGGGTGGATGGATAGATGAGGGATGGAGGAATGGATGGATGAGGGATGGAGGGATGGATGGATGAGTGATGGATGAATGGGTGTGTGGATGGGTGGGTGGATGGAGGGATGGGTGGATGGATGTTGAGAGATGGATGAATGGGTAGATGAATGTGTAGATGGATGGACGGACAGAGGGAAAGATGGCTGGATGAATGGATGGGTGGATGGAGCGATTGATGGATGAATGATGGATGGATGGGTGGATGAATGAATGGGTGGATGGATAGATGAGGGGTGGAGGAATGGATGGATGAGGGATGGAGGGATGGATGGATGAGTGATGGATGAATGGGTGGATGGGTAGATGGAGGGATGGAGGGGTGGATAGATGAGTGATGGATGAATGGGTGTGTGGATGGGTGGGTGATGGACAAATGGGTGGATGGATGGATGGGTAGATGGATGAATGGGTGTGTGGATGGATGGATGGGTGATGGACGAATGGGTGGATGGATAGATGAGGGGTGGAGGAATGGATGGATGAGGGATGGAGGGATGGATGGATGAGTGATGGATGGATGAATGGGTGTGTGGATGGGTAGGTGGATGGAGGGATGGGTGGATGCAGGCATAGATGGATGAGTGATGGATGAATGGGTGGATGGATAGATGGATGCACGGATGAACAAATGGGTGGATGGGCTAATGGTTGAGCAGACTTGCCAGTCACTCTAAGTTCATACACCGTTGCTCCCATGGCCTCCCCAGTAACCACCATGTAGACTCTTCCCACTTAGCTCTACAAAAGGTTAGATTCCATCCACCCCTCCCCCAGGGTCTGGATGGGCCAAGCCCAGTGTTCCCCTCCCCAGCAGGTCCCTCCTCAGCAGCGTGGGCCTGAAGGAGCTGTCCCTCTCTCTGCAGGGCCTGGTGAGGCAGCTGGTCCTGCTGCCAGGCTCAGACGCCACCCCAAGGCTGTGTCCCAGCAGGAACGCCCCACTGGCCGTGCTGTCCATCCCACGGGTCCTGCAGGCTCTCACGGGGAAGCCGGAAGATAACGAGGTGCTAAAATATCCCTATGGTTAGTAGGGGGTTCACCTGCCCCCACACCAAAGGCAACGTGAGAGCCCTGGCCTCACACCAGGCGGGAACTCGGGGCTCAGTTCTCAGCCCCTCCCATGTGCTTGCCCCTCTGTTTGCTGCCATGCGGGGCAGCGGTCACACTGGCCAAGGGGATGACGCTCAGGGCCCATGCCCCGGAAGGTAGGCGGCACCATTAGACAGGCCAGTGTCTTCTCTCTTCCCTCCGAGCAGTCCCACGACAGCTGCCCAGCCCCTTCCTGGGCACCCCAGGCAGACAGCAGGCCTAACTTTAGAAACTCTGTCCAGAGCTATCTGACATCCCTCATCCCCTTTTGCCCCCCATAACAGCATTTGGGCCATTTCTGCTCCACCCCCAGCCCCGCCTCTGTCCCACAGTCATCCAGACCAGCCCACCGTGGCCGTACATGCACATTTCCCACAGTCCCTCTGGCCCAGAGGGTCTCCCGGCTTGGCTTTCTCTTGTGCGAAGTCACAAGGCTGACTGTGTTTATTTAAACCACACCCCTGCCATGGAGAATCTGAAGTGCCCCTCCCCGCCGCATCCCCCACTGCTCTGTGGCCACCCCGAGGGACAGTGAGGTGGAGGACAGCCAAGCCCCTGAGTCTCAGGGTCAGCGGTTACGAGGTAGGGGAGCCCCCACCTCCCACATATCCGGCCCGCACAGTATACCGTGTCACGCAGCTGGTCAGCACAAGCCAGTCATTGCACAGAGGTCCCACGTAAAGTGAAGAGGCAGCAGAACTAGGACCCACAGTGGGTTGTGACTGCTGGCAGTGATGACACCAAACTGTCGCAGATCCACGCCACGCCGGGGTTAGGATACCCCAGTGTTAAAATGGACTCGCTGCCGAGATGGGCCAGCGCTGCGTGCAGTCCGATAACGAGGTGCTAACATATCCCTGTGCTTAGTAGGGGGCCACCCGCCCCCACACCAAGGGCAGACATGAGAGCCCTGGCCTCACACCAGAGGAGTGGGCTTTTCTCTCTCGATGGGATGGAAAGCCATGCCTTTCAGAGTGGACAGAGGGTGGGCTGACCGTAGAGGGGGCGTCATAAAGTCCTTCGTCACCGGTAGGCCAGGTTCTTATTCCCCACCTGTGGTGTGGCACACCTGCACCAAGATGCCCACAGGGGCCCTTCCCAGCTCGCACGCAGAGGCAGAGGCAGAGGCAGGCAGCCGGGTTTGGTCCTCCTCCTGCATCATCTTCCTCGGGGGCACCAGCTTGCTGGACACTCATGTTCCTGGTCTTCCCTGCAGAAACCAACATTCGAGTGACGCTGGGACCCCGGCCACCGTGTACCAAAGTGGAAGACGCCCAGTTCTGGTTTGATGCTGGACGGAAGGGGCTGTACCTGTGTGTCGGCAACCAGTGGGTGTCTGTGACAGCAGGTGAGGCAGGGCCGCCCTGGCACGGCATGACTGGGAGCCGCGGCTAGGAAAGGTGGCGCCTCAGCCACCTCCGAATGACCTCAGGCTCGGCCGCCAGGCCGGGGCAGTGTCAGTCCTGACCCCAAAGCAAGTGGCGGCCAGGATGGTCAGCAGCCAGGACACTGTCCCACCCAGAGCTGCAGGACCCTCAGCCACAGGCCCTCCTTGGGACAGGTGCCACTCAGGAGAATAAACCACCCCATTTGGAAATGTGAACCTCCAGGGCATGGCACGAGCTGACAGGGCTGGGCATCACTCAGTACCCCTTCCCAAACTATGGGAAGATGATGCCTGCATCCCTGCATCCTCTTGGCAGGGTGGCCTGGCCGCCGCCTCTGCCCACACCCTCCCTGTCCGCTAGATCAGAGATGAGATGCAAGGCCTAAAAGGTTATTTTGACAACAAGCCTTCTCAGCAGTCTGTTCCCGCTGCTGGGGAGGTGAGAGGAGCTTGCAACTGATGCTCCAGAAAGGTTACCCGTGGGAAATGGGCACGGGCTCCAGCTGGCACGTGTGTGAACTGCCCTCTTTCACTTTATCGAGAGCACGACTTGCCGTGGAAGCGGTGAGACTTTCACAAGGTCGCACCGTGTGAAGCTGGTCCTGTTGGTATCCTTGGGGGCTGCACGCATCACATAGCCCTGGCAGCAGCAAGGGTCTCCCTGCGATGGCCTTTCCTGTGAGAGCACATGTGGAAACTGATGCGGAGGCCGAGGCTTGGGACTTGGGGCTTGGGGGCCGCGCTCCCATGAGGATTGCTTGCTCCGGGTGCCTGTTCTCGGAAATCTTAACTGAGTCTCAATACTTCTGTCATAAGCCAAAGAAAGGCTGGACTATGTGGAGGAGCATCAGAAGCTGCTCACCAGCTCCGAGACCCTGGGCATCGAGGTCTTCCGCATTCCCCAGGCGGGGCTCTTCGTGGCCACAGCCAATCGCAAAGCCACGTCCGCCGTGTACAAGTGGACCGAAGGGAAGTTCGTCTCGTACCAGAGCATCCCCACGCACCAAGCACAGGCCTGGAGGCATTTCACCATCGGGAAAAAGGCAAGTCTGTGTTCCGTGTCTGTCTCCAGACCCTTTAACCTGGAAAGTCCACGGGTGGGGCTCCCTGCGCTGATTCTGCAGGTGAAGGAGTTTCTCATGGGGTCATCCCCTCGTTCAGGTGGTAAACGGCTCACAGAGTCGCGCACGTTAGCCTGCCACCCCAAACCCAGGGCGTGACTCTAGACAGTCTGAAAGGAAGGCCAGGCCATCTCCCAGATGCCATCCAGTTCTACACAGACCCCGATTCGCTACACTTAAAACCCGCTGAGAGTATTTACGTGAGCCAGTCAAGAACCAGAAATCGTTCCAGAAAGAAATTACAAGATGGACATTCCTGATCCTTCCTGTCCCCAAATGTTGAGGACACATGATGTCCACATGGAAGGCTGAGGCCAGGCTTGGGAGCCGTGGGTGAGGCCTCGCACGCAGGCAGCCGCCTTCCCATCCAGGCTGCTCTGGGCAGAGGTGGCGGGTCTGAGAGATGGTTGATATCACAGGGGAAGGATGGGGCTTCCTCTCCCCAGCTCTGTCCACTCTCTGGACTCTACACAGCAGTGTCCTGGAGACAGCACCTCCCGACTGCCCCCAAATAGTCACTCACCTGACCACACTGACCCCACCTGGACACGGGGCTAAAGCAGTGAGCACAGCAGATGGAAACTCTGCTCTCCTGTGACTTATGGCCACCCTCATCCTGGCTGCATCAGTGTCCAGCATGGCGGGTGAATAACTAGCTCCTTTTTTTTTTTGATTGATGATATCATAAGGTTTTAATTTTTTATTATAAAAAAATAACTTTGCATCAAGGAAAAATTGGAAAATTCAGAAAAGCAAAGGGGAAATATTTTGTCCCCCAACCCAAGCAAGCACATGGGTTCATGTGACACCCTCGCCTCAAGCATGTTGCCTGTGACCTGGGCACCTGCCCCTCATTCCATATGTTCACACAGCTGCGCCATGAGGCCGGGCACACTGCACCCTGTTCCTGTTTTCCACACCTTGTCCTGACACAGCTCTACGTGGTGACCACACCCTTACCACAGGGGAGCAGGTGTGGGGACCACAGCCTTGCCACAGGGGAGCAGGCATGGTGACCACAGCCTTGCCACGAGGGAGCAGGCGTGGTGACCACAGCCTTGCCACGGGGGAGCAGGCGTGGTGACCACACCCTTACCACGAGGGAGCAGGCGTGGTGACCACAGCCTTGCCACGGGGGAGCAGGTGTGGTAATCACACCCTTACCATGAGGGAGCAGGCGTGGGGACCACAGCCTTGCCATGGGGGAGCAGGCTGTAATGAGTTTTTCCAGTCATCTGGGTTAGGAAGAACGTTTTTGTGCATAAAGTGTTGCCTGAATTTGGGGATTTTGCCTTTTGTGATTTTTTGCCTTCAGAAGGCAATAGAAGTGGAAATGTTGGGTAAAGGATGTAGACATTTTCAAGGGCCTTGAAGGTAGTGGCTGGCTGCACCCACCCCACCATGACGACCTGTGATGCGGGGCCTCAGTCCTCTGTCCCTGCACCACATAGCAGCCGAGGATCTGGAGAGAGAGGATGATGTTCAGGAGCCTTCGGCCCCAGGCCCCCGCCCCCGCCCCAAGCAGGCTCACGTGGTCCTGGCTTTCTCTCTTTCAGATCTTCCTGGCAGTGGCTAATTTTGAACCCGATGAAAAGGGTCAGGAGTTCTCTGTCATTTACAAATGGAGCCACAGAAAGCTGAAGTTCACCCCGTACCAGAGCATTGCCACACACAGTGCCCGAGACTGGGAGGCCTTCGAGGTGGATGGGGAGCACTTCCTGGCAGTGGCCAACCACCGGGAAGGTAGGGCAGGTGTGGCCTTTACTCCACGTGGGGATGGCACCTATGGAGGCCTGGAGGTGGGGCTGGCAAGAGGCTGGCTGAGGGCTGGAGACTCAGGGAGAGAAGGGGCATCCCCAGCGGCTGGCCGTGCCCTTGCGGGTCTTCGATCTTTGGGGCAGGGACCTGGAGTTCCGGCTCTATCAGGGCCACCATGGGGCCGTGGATTTTGCCTCCCGACCCCAGCGCAGGCCCTTGGTTCCAGGCGACAACCACAACATTGACAGCGTCATCTACAAGTGGAACCCGGCAACCCGGCTCTTTGAGGCCAACCAGACCATCGCCACCTCTGGTGCCTACGACTGGGAGTTCTTCAGCGTGGGGCCCTACTCGTTCCTGGTGGTGGCCAACACCTTCAACGGTACCTCCACCAAAGTGCACTCGCACCTCTACATCCGGCTCCTGGGCTCCTTCCAGCTCTTCCAGTCCTTCCCGGTAAGGCCCCAGCGTGAGCCCTGGCTCTCCATCGCCGGCCACCATGCAGGTGACGTGGGCTGGGGTCCACCAAGAGCCACACCTAGTGCTGCTCTGCACCTGCAACCCCAAGACCCAGGCAGGACCTGCCCATCTGGACAGCACAGGGTACTGCTCCTTGCCTGGCATTTGAGCCCTTCCTGTCTGACAGCCTCTGTGTACCCAGGGACAGTTCAGGTGCCTGGAAATGGGGCAGGAGGTGCACCCTGGCTCTGCCCCACCCTGGCATGGTGTTCTCCATACAGTGCCCGCCCCCTCCCTGGGCTCAGAGTCTAGAAGCTCCTGCAGTCTAATCCAAGTCTGTATGGGTGTTGGGGCCCTGGCCCGGGGGCAGCTGGGCAGCTCTGCTCTGGCCCAGGGCAGTGTGGGGTCTGGGTGGTGGCAGCACGGGACACTCCGCGCCAGGCATCACATGTCCCTGGGTGGGTTCCAGCCACCATGAGGCCTTTGAGTTGAGGCAGTGACAGGTGCTAATGAGGCCACCTCTGGGATGGGGACAGCATGCTCCTGCTCCTGGCAAGTGTGCCAAGGATGGGGACGGGAGCCAAGGTGCGGGGTATGGGACAGGTTGGGGGGCATCTCCCATGTCGGGCTCAGCTCTGTGTGAGCCATGTCCCTGGTTCCCAGGGAAGCAGCTCAGGTCTTTGCAGTGCCGCCAACAGCACTCCCACTGTTTGCTGTAAGCGTGCCTCTCATAACACATCGCCTCCCTCGTGTCCTTCTGGAATCTTCTGTGCCCTCTGACCTGGTGACTCGTTCCCCTGCAGCTATGTTCTCAGGGCGCTCTTCACCCGAGACAGTGAGACTCACCCAAGCCACTCTTGCCATGTGAGCTGCCCCCAGTTAGGCTGGTATGGGGCAGAGCCGTGGCAGATGCTGAGGCCTGGGTCCCCCCACCACCATCGGCCTCACCAAGCTGCCCCTGCATTAGACAAGGGGCTGCGCATGCAGTGGTGGGGGTTTTATGAAGGCATTCTGGAACATTCCGTACATACATCTCATGAGAGCAAGCCTGCAGGTAGCACATGGGAATGAGTTTCAAAACGAAAGGGAGGACGATGTGCAGCGATTGCAGGTTCCTGGAGCCCCTCCACCCAGCAAGGGTGAGAGCAGCTCAGGAAACTGGGAGCATGAGCACCTTGAGAAGCCCGCAGGGCCGGACCAGGAGCTGTGGCTGTCAGGGACCAACCACGCATGTTAATGCCGTCCTTTCGGCCCTGTGTGCAGAGGATGGCAGCAGGACACCCGTGTGCTCAGCCGTCTGGGAGGCTGGGGCACAGCATCGTCCAGGTGACCAGCAGCCCACCCTTAGGCCACTAATGGGTCCGTGGGGAAGGGCAGCTTTAAGTGGATGTTCTGGGCACAAGGAGAGCAGATGTCAGGGAACACCAGGAGGAAATGGGGGCTGGGAAAGTGGGGAGGGCACCTGCAGGGTAGCAGGGCCGGGAGTGGGCAGCAGGGTCACCACTCAGAGCCACAGGGCTGCAAGCGAAACATTAACCTGCCCTTGTGGGGTCGACAGGGCTGCACTATCATGACTGGTTGGTGGCTGGGAGGGGGCAAGCCATTGGGAGGCTGCTGTGGCCGCCCGGGTGAGCCACGGGTGCCCAGGTGAGTGGCTGCCCAGGTGAGCCGCAGGTGCCCATGTGAGGAGGCAGCAGTGCCAGAGGGAACACACTTTGAGCTTGCTAGTGCTGTGGATGAAATAGGCTAGCATGCCTGTGAGCCAGGAGGAGGCGGGATGAGACACTGGGGCGGAGCGAGGCTCAGTGCACTGGGCTGTGGGTGAGCGAGATTCTTCCAGCCACTGGTCTTGGTAACAGCCTCAGCATGTGAGTGGTGGCAGCTGGTGCTGGCTGAGCCTCGACTCTGTAAAGTGCATGTCCCAAAATGTCTGCCTATGTCCTGCCACGTCAGCCTCACAGCACCTTGAGAGGGGAGTGCAGCCACTAGTTTCTTTACCCACGAGGACACTCAGAGTGGTGGAGGGGTTTGCCTGTGGCAGAGTGGGATCAAGCCAGGCAATGTGGCCTGCCACTCAGTTTGACATGGCACAGGGCAGAGCCGAACACAAGCTCCTCGTCTTACTGGTCCCTGCACAGTCCCCTCACTACAACACGCATGCTGCTAAGACTCTGGGAAACCACATGGGCATTCTGGGCTGGTGGCCACATGCTGGCGTGCAGACAGCTGACCTGAAGGGAGGGTTCAGGAGCCTTCGGTCATGGGTTAGCCTGGCCACAGGGCTCAGCAGGGACAGCTCCCCCTGACCGGGAATCATTGGCCTGGAGTTGGACTTGAGGCCAGTGAGGTTTGAGATGCAAAAGTGGCTGCAAGCTGGAGCCAAGAGCATGATATGGGCTGGAAATCAGGACTCCCAAGGAGGCCTCAACACACAGGGACAGTGGCTAAAAAGGCAAATGGTGACATTGCGTAGCAGCACAAGGGTGGTTTGGGGACTGAGGCACAGCTGTAGAGCACCAGTGGTCTGGCCAACAGTAGTTCCCTTGGAAACACCCAGGGCTCCACAGGGGTCTCATGTGTCATCAGGATCACGTGGGTGCCCTAACAGGAACATGTGCCCTGCTGGAAACACCCCGGGCTCCACACCGGTCACATGTGCCATCAGGATCATGTGGGCACCCTAACAGGAATGTGTGCGCTGCTGGCTCCCGGCTCACACATGCAGAGCCTGGCACACCAGAGCATGTTCGAGGAGCTTTGCCAGAACGATGAAGGGATTTGAAACGTATCACACAAGGAACAGTTGCAGGACCTAAAGCTTTATCCTGAAAGAAGACGTGGGTAGTCACTTCCAAGCAGCTAATGGATGAGCCAGAGAGTGGGGAGCGAGGCTTCCCAGGGTCTCGAGAGCAGAGTTGCACACCCTGGTTGGAAAGGCACCACAAGTGACTTTCTCTTCAACTAGTCAAGGTCTCCTAACAGCTGCTGAACCACGGAGAGACTTCGGTCCTGAGGGCCCTGCATTCTAAGTCACAAAGTGAGGTGACAAGAGAAAGGATCCCTGCAGTGGGTTGGGGAGTACATTTTGAAGGTTACCATCCTAGTTCTACCAACACTGTGATCTTAAAGCTCCTTGATAACACCAAGCCCAATTTACAACATCTTCTTCATGACACTTCACCAAAGTGCACAAGATACCCCAGCACCCCGGAGTGCACCTGGCCGGCTGCGCATGTCACCTGCTGCCATCCTCCCCAGAGCACACCCAGCCAGCTACATGTCACCCATGCCATCCTCCCCAGAGTGCACCCTGCCAGCTACATATCACCCATGCCATCCTCCCCAGAGTGCACCTGGCCAGCTGCACATCACCCATGCCATCCTCCCCAGAGTGCACCTGGCCAGCTACACATCACCCATGCCATCCTCCCCAGAGTGCACCTGGCCAGCTGCACATCACCCATGCCATCCTCCCCAGCTACACGTCATCCATGCCATCCTCCCCAGCTACACATCACCCATGCCATCCTCCCCAGAGTGCACCCGGCCAGCTGCACATGTCACCCACTGCCATCCTCCCCAGAGTGCACCCGGCCAGCTGCACATGTCACCCACTGCCATACTCTCCAGCTAAGAGGCCCTGATGTTTGCCCAAAATCCTAAAAACTGCAGGAGTCAGGCTAAAAGAGATAAAGATGTGCTGAAAGAAACTGAGCTCTAGAAACAGAAAGGATATTTTTTTTGAGACTGAGTGTTGCTCTGTCGCCCAGGCCGCAGTGCAGTGGCACAATCTCAGCTCACTGCCACTTCCGCCTCTCGCATTCAAACCTGCCTCAGCCTCCCGAGTAGCTGGGACTACAGGCACGTGCCACCACGCCTGGCTAATTTTTTGTATTTTTAGTAGAGATGGGGTTTCACCATGTTAGCTAGGATTGTCTCCATCTCCCGATCTTGTGATCCGCCTGCCTCGGCCTCCCAAAGTGCTGGGATTACAGGCGTGAGCCACTGCACCTGGCCCAGAAAAGAATTTTTAAAGTTATAACTATCTTCAGAAGTATTCAAGAAGATACTGCACTTATGAAATAAAGAATGCTACTAATGCAGACAACTTGGACATTAAAAATGCAATTGCTGGCATTAAAAGACGACACTCATTAACATAATTGAAATATAAAGTTAAGAATATCTTCTAGAATGTAGAATGAAGAGACAGACTCAACCCAGGAGATTCTATATCTGGCTAACTAAAGTTCTAGAAAAAAAGAAGAGGGGTAAGAGAGTGATGGAGTCGTCAGAAACCTCCCAGATCTCACAGACTGAAAGGACACTGAGACCAAGGAGGGCGAGAGAGAGCAAAGGAAAGTTACCTTCAAAGCTCGCAGGAGCTGCGGCAGCCTCGGATTTCCCATCGGCAGCCCCGGATATTGGGAAGTAGGAGGGCTCAGTTCTGAGGGTGAGTTGAACGCAGTCTGCCCATAAGACAAGGCCACTGGCCACTGCCGTGCACAGCTCCCACGTGTCAGTGGCTTCCTGCCATATGGAGTTAGTTCCCATATTAAGTGAGAGACCACGAGGTTGCACCGACCTCTCTGGCAGCCACCCCTTGCAGCACACACAGTCGGAAGAGACTGGAAGGGGCTGGCCTGACCTGTACTCACAGCCCATTGGCCAGTGCCAGTCACCTGACCTGGCCTCACTGAGCCTGTGCTCACGTGTCCTCACAGCTCATTGGCCAGTGCCGGTCACATGACCCAGCCTTGCTGGACCCGTGCTCACGTGTGCTCACAGCTCATTGGCCAGTGCCGGTCACATGACCCAGCCTTGCTGGACCCATGCTCATGTGTGCTTACAGCTCACTGGCCAGTGCCAGCCACATGACCCAGCCTCACTGGACCTGTTCACGTGTCCTCACAGCTCATTGGCCAGTGCCGGTCACCTGACCCAGCCTGGGACCCGTGCTCACAGCTCACTGGCCAGTGTCAGTCACACGACCCAGT